ATGAACGTTGCACCGCTCCTCAGATTGGCGGGAACAAAAGGAAAAAAAGGCTGTTAGGACAACAAGAGCTGGCACATCTTTGTACTCGGTACCTGCGCCCGGGCCCGTGTTTCTCTTTTTTGGCGACATCTCTTAGCTCCGAAAAAAAGCTGCAACCACCTGCACGGCTTGCACCACACAACACCGGTCCCCCTTTCCTGCTCACTTGCCCATGACCGCCCATGGGAGAAATTCCACAACCCCTTCTTTCCTTCCTTTCCCCACGGCTCGGCTCCTGCTCCCCTCCTCGCGCGGCTGCACGCACTGGGCTGGATGAGGTACCATCGACCACTGCACCCCCTCGCATCCCCGTAGCGCCGCGCTGCCTCCACGTCTTCCCAATTCATGTTACTGCATCTAAAAGGTGTACGGTACGGATACACACACACACACACACAACACACACGCCGCACTACGCATTTGTAGTATTGCTAGAGACAACCTGGAGAGTGCCTGCCGCGGCAAGACTTCCCTTCCCATCCCATCCCGTCTCATCGACCAGGTCGGTTCTTGCTGGTTGTTGATAGCGGATGACTTCCAGGTTCGCCCTTTCCCCAAAGTTACCTGAGCTGAAGGCGACGACGACTTTCCTCGCATCGGGTTGGCCGCTCGCCCTGCTTTTTGCCCTGCGTGGTCTGGTTCCGGGCGGCGTACCTTCCTTTTGTACCCTGGTCCGCCACAGTGTTTATTCCCCTTGCCGGGTGTTGGCGAGACATGGTGGTTGAGCATCCCGAGGAGGAGACACCATCGTCAAGCGGAGAAAGCCCCAAAAAGCCGCCGACGTGTGTTGTTGCTCCCTCTCTCATAATCATGCCCGGTGCTTGGTGATGGGCAAATCATGGGGGTGGGCGTGCTCCCATTCCCACCCCGTCCCGTCCATTGTCAGTCAGCCTGTCTCTCATATTACCTGAGGTTAGGTTCCTTGCCATACACATCCCGTCATCCCGTCCGTCCATCTTTTCTTTCTGCGCCTGGCCCACGTTGGAGGTTTACACATTTCTCTGCATCTCTGGCCCGGCTCTCTCTCTACCTATTCTCCCTGGGCGGCCCGTTCTCGAGGTGCCATCGCTTCTTGTCATCTTGGTGTTTTCCCCCCTTCCCTTTCCTACCTCCCCACTCCCATTACTTGCTGAGTTGGTGCAGCTCGAGCTCATGGCTCACGCCCCCCCTTTGGCTCTCTCACTCGTCCACTCTTTCCATGTTGTTGCCATTCCCATTCCCCTTCTCCCGCTCCCATTCCCATCATTCCCAGTTGTTCTCTTCTTATGCCTTTTCCCTCTTTTAACCTTGGCTTGACCGTGACTGACCGCCCACCCCATCCCATCCTGTCCATTCCCATCCATTTCCCATTCCCCCCCATAATCCATTCACCCGCCCCGTCCGCGTTCTTCTTTACCTTGCCGTGCTTGCCCACCCCGTCCACGTTCCTCGTGGTCCTGAGGCCATCTGATCCCGTCGATGTGCCCCCCAGCCTAGTCCGAATCTCTAATTCGGCTTTAATAATAAAATTTCCTTCCCATTCACTCCTGCTGAGGCCATCCACGTCTGCTCGGTGCCCCGTTTTTCTCGTCTTGCGCAGCAGCCAAATGTCGGCCCAAAAAATTATTGTTGTTCCCCCCAAAAACGTAGCCATCCCCATCTCCTCTCCCGAGCTCCCATTCTCCTCCTCCTTTTTCCTTTCCACAACTACCACGACACTGCAAATTCGACTGCAGAATCGCCAAATTCATCAATCTCGACATTAACCCCCATCGTCGACATCTTCAAAAGAACACCTTTTTGTTCGGCTCATTACGCTGAATTCTTTGACGGTCGCTGAATTCCTCTTTTCTCCACCGAATAACTCTTTTTCGTCGATCCAAGGTGTCAATTGTCGTCAAAAAACACGCCTTCCGATCATTGAGGTTATTCACGAGTTCCCACCTTGGCCAACTCCGCACGGCCACACCGCAGGTGACCACTGCTCAATCGGTGCAGCAGTCTCCTGCCTTAGCCAACCTAGTCCAGACACCTTACATAATTCCGCGTCTGCCCCAAACTCACTGTCAGCCAATCCGAAGCTACGTAACCTAAACGTACCAAAACGCGAATCCACCTCCTTGTCAAAAGGGAAAAAGTGAGGTCATTCAGGACGAAACTCTCAAAGCAATTCACCGCACAACCACAATCGAATTATTTTCGATGCACTATACCTGCTGTGGTTCACAGTAATCTCACGGTATCGAGAGATTATCTGGTCTTTTTTCACCCTTTAGTACCCTCTCTCCGGTGCAGGTGTCCATCGAATTAACCTTCGAAGACCACATTTCGGCGTGGTGTTACTTTGGTGGTGGAGGAGAGCCAGCTATGCGCGACAGCTCCTCACCTGCACTTTCATCACCACCTTCCGGTTCTATACCAGACCCAGGCTCACCGTTAATCGGTCGGCCAAACAACAACGATATGGATATGGACGAGATCATAGTAGATCCCTCCCAGCCTCGCTTCGGTGTCGTCGCAGGAAACGAGCCGCCTCAACCAGAAGTCCGCCTTACTGCTGCTGGCTTGCCTCGCAAGAAGCCTGGTCGCAAACCCGGCTCTACCGTCAAGCCTAAGAACCCCGACGAGCCGCCCAAGGTGCGCCGACCTAGAAAACCTCGCGATCCCAATGCGCCGCCCATTCAAAGGAAGAGAAAGTCGGCACCTGCTGCGGATGCCGATGCAGGCTCAGATTCAAAGTCCCTTGCCGCTGCAGCCGCATCTTCTTCCACACCTCCTCCTTCTCGACAGACGAAGATTACCGACCTGGTCGACATCACTTCCACCTCCCGACCTGGCTCTGCTCAGCCAGAACACACAGCGCAAAAGGCGCCCAAGCGAGAGGAGATGCCGCGTTCAATGCAAAGCATTTTGAATGCTGAGCCAGAGCCTGAGCCGAAACCACAGAATACCGCTCTCCCGACGCGTACTAGCGGACAGGGTTACGATCCTATCCGTGGCAGCTACGATCCTGTCAGAGGCATCTTTGGTAGTGCTTCATCGCCAAGACCCGCAACACAGACTGTCAACCGACCTAGTGCGTCTCCCTCTATCGCAAGCTTGGTAGATCCGCCCACGCAGAGCGTCACGTCGCCTTCTGCACAAAACTTCCGCATTGCCTCTACTGCTCAGTCTCGGACTGAGAATACCTCTGTACCAGCATCTCCGTCATACCCAGTCAGATCAATTCCTCAAGCGATCTCGAAGCCGCCTGCACCTGAGCCGAAGAAGGCTCTCGCTCCCCCGCCAGTCCCAGCTCTCAAGGCAGACTCGAAGCTGAAGGACGCTGCGTCAACTGCTGGTTCTGTCGCCAGCAAAAAGCATTCACCGAAGCAAAAGCCACAGAAGTCAGGAGTCTCTTCACCCAAGCTCAATGCTCTGGACGACTCTCGTGATCTGCTTGGAGATCGTTCAATTCTAGACTTTGGCAGAGCCGAAACTGGCAAGGAGTACAAAGCCCCGGATATTGTCCTGGACATCCCTATCAAGCCCGGCGACACGAATATCTACGTCAATGTGATGCGTATGGCTGAGGAGAAGTATGGCTGGGATGCTCTGCACCCTCGCCTGGCCGAAAAGCGAGATCGCAAGGCCCGCATCGCTGCTGCCTCGGCTGCCTTGGAGAAAACGGCGTCAGGCCAGGAATCTGGCGACGAAATGTCCGAGGACTCAGACAAGGAGGCAAGCAATGTGGAAATGGGTGGTATGACGAGTGGAGCCGATCTTCCCGAGAAGCCTAAGAAGAAGAAGCGCAACTTCAAAGAAGATGAGTACGACAAGGATGATGACTTCGTCGACGATTCCGAGATGTTGTGGGAGCAGCAGGCAGCCGCCAGCAGAGACGGCTTCTTCGTATACTCTGGACCCCTGGTGCCAGAGGTTGAGAAGCCTGCGGATACAAGGTTTGTTACATTGACGCCCGTTTCTACACAGCATGGCTTACTAACATGTTCCAGACCTGATGGATTGCCTAAGCGCGGTCGCGGAAGTCGTGGCGGTCGTATTGGCGGTCGTGGCGGTACGACTCGTGGTGAAGGCGGCACTGGTCGCGGCGGAGGACCAGGCTCCCGAGGTGGTCGCGGATCCCGAGGCGGTTCGCTTACTCGCAAACCGCGTATCACAAAGTCGGAAAAAGAGCAGCTCGAACGCGAGAAGGCCGATCGCCAGCGACAGGCTGAATTGAGCGCCAAGTCCACAAACGGCTACTCACTCCAGCCTCAGACGCCTTCCTTTGCAGCTGGAATGGCAGGCGCGTAAATCGCCAGGGAAGCTCTCTATTACGACAGGAGAGTTACTTCACGAATAGGGCATATATCCTCGTTGAGAGGGATGATGCCGTTTGAAGGCATTGCTTACAACAAACGAACATACAACGGAAAGGAGTCCATCTATAGAGAACAGTTCCCAAGGAGGCTACTGTTGCGACTGCGACTTGAGAAAGACTAGCAAGGGGTGGTTGTATCTGGACAAAACGTTCGGAACAGGCGTTGTGATGTCGATGCCCTTTTCTTGGTCATTGACTTTGCTGAGGGTGACATGGTTAGGCTGGGCGGAACTGTTTCTCGGACGGCATGGGATGGCATGAGATCCCAGGAATGCGGCGTTCGGATTTGTAGGACTGATTATTGGACGGAATGGGTCTACAGCTAGGCGGTTCCACTTGTCCACTCGTGGTGGTGGAGTTTCCAAGCCGTGGGATAGATTTGCGAATTGTGTGATGGTATTACGGAGGAGAGATGTATGCTTAGAAAGACTTGCTACCAATCAAAGCAGTGATTAATGCCATTGGTCGGTACCACTTGGTTTGGGTATCTGAATGAGGTGCACTACATTTCGTAGATTTCGTAGAGCGTTGATGGTCAGATAAGCGTATGTTTCAAGATGAGCGAATCCCGGCCAACTGTTGGTGATGGGTCTGCACCTAGTTTGGACCCTTTGAAGCTGGAGAACTTGATAAGATGCATGTATCGGGGCGCTATGTCATTGCGGGGTGGAAGTGTGGCTCACCGCCCCGGAAAACAGGTGAGGATCCAACGGCAGAAAAGCGCCAAGATTTCGCATAAGCGATTTCTCCACACCCCAAAAAATTTCGAACCGCCCGAAAATTCGCAGCCAATCCGCCCGCAACCGCCGCAGTATCAAAGCTCTCTCTCTGTTCACCGAGTCTGCTTGCACCCGCCTAGCCGTTGATATTCGTTTGGCTTTGCAGCACTCCAACCAAACTTTACGGTCGACACAGAGAAGGCTTTTTGATCCTTTTTTTCCTATAAGCAAAGATATAAAGAAACGAAACAAGGGAATATGGCGGAATCTACTCTGCAGGTTCGTTGTATTGCCCATGCCCCGCCACCGGCCAAAGAGAAAAAAAAAGAGAGAAGAGGCTGTTGGCGGCGACGATGATCCTGTGAGATCGCCACAAAAGGCACAACGTTAACATGCTTCGTAGGATCGCCTGCGCGAGCACTCAAAGGCCTTTGATGGTCTTTTGTCCCTCATTCCGGCAAAGATGTACTATGGAGAAGACAACTCTGTACGTTTGCCCCCAAGTCCGCACCTCACATCCCTCAGTGGCCCTGCAAAGGCAAAAGTCGCAAAGCGACCGATAGGAAACCTAGCCACGTCCTCCCATCGCTCGTGCCTCGCCTGTATAGCACCAGGGTAGCTTTCATGGAGAGCGCATTTTGCTTACGCTTTTTTTTTTCTTCTTGCAACAGGAACAATGGAAGCGAACGAAGCAGACGAAAGCCGAGGCCAAGGCCGCAAAGACGGCCAAGCTGGACCCCGACAGCGAGCTGAACCGCAACGCAAAGGAGGTCATGGACGAGCGGGCGGCGCGCAACAAGCGCAAGCTGGAGGCGATGCAAGAAGAAGAAGACAAGGAGGACGACGAGCCCGTCCCGGGTGTGCAGAGGGAGCTGCCAGGCCAGGGGCTCCGGAACAAGGACTACAAGAAGCAGAAGACGGCCGACCTCCCGATCGACACGATTGATGACGCCAACCCTGCCGAGATGTCACAGAACCAGCTCATGAGGATGGCGAAGAAGGAGGCCAAGCTGGAGAAGCGCGCGACCAAGAAGGCCAAGAAGGCTGAGAAGAAGGCTGCTAAGCTCGAGGCTGGTGGCGACGCTGCTGCTGACGCTGCTGATGTTGATGCGCCCGAGGTTAAGGAGTCTAGCAAGTCCGCCGACACCAAGGCTGCAAAGTTCCCGGCCGCCACCAAGAAGGAGTCCAGCAAGAAGCAACAGAAGAAGGCCGAGTCCAAGGACGCCAAGCCCGTCAGCAACGACCACGACAGGGACGCGGACGCGGACAAGGACGAGGATGAAGAGTACGAGACCGTCGACGAGTCCGAAGACGAGGCCGAACCCGTGACAAAGTCAAAGTCAAAGTCCGTCGACCTCAACCCCCTCGACCTCTCCGGCCTCGCCCAACAAAAGGCCACAGAGGAGTCCAGTGACGCCTCGACACCGGCCTCGCCCACCTTTGACACCGTCGCCGTCGACGGTCCCTCCACCACCACCGCCGCCAGCGCCAGCACGACAACTTCAACAAGCTCCACCGTCCCGCCCTCCGAGAAGCCAAAGCACATCAAACTCCCCGCCGACACCTCCGCCCTCCGCGCCCGCCTCGCAGCCCGCATAGAAGCCCTCCGCGCCGCCCGCAAAGCCGACGGTCCGGACGGAAAACCCATCCGCACCCGCCAGGAACTCATCGAGGCGCGCCGCTTCAAGCAGGCCCAGCGCAAAGAGCACAAGAAGGAACTCCGCACAAAGGCCAGGCTCGAGGAAGACGCCCGCCGCGAGGAGACGCTCGCCTCCAACTCCCCCAGCATCATGTCCCCGCGCGTCGGCCTCGGCGGCGAAGACGGCGACGACGAACCCGCAAACTTTGCATTCGGCCGCGTCGCCTTTGACGACGGCACAAAACTCTCGCACGACCTCTCCCACGCGCTCAACACGCACAAGAAGCGCGGGCCCTCGGATCCCAAAACGGCACTCATCAAGATGCAGAACCAAAAGAAGCGCCTCGCGGCCCTCGACTCGGAAAAACAAGCCGACATTGCCGAAAAGGAACAGTGGCTCATTGCCCGAAAACGCGCCGAGGGCGAGCGCGTGCGCGACGATGAGCAGGCTCTCAAGAAGGCCGTCAAGCGCAAGGACCAGGCCAAGAAGAAGAGTGAAAAGGCGTGGAAGGAGCGCAGCGACGGCGTGGCCAAGTCGATTCGTGAGAAGCAGAAGAAGCGCGAGGATAACCTCAAGAAGCGCAAGGATGATAAGTTGGCGCATAAGCTTGGGCGGAAGAGCGGCAAGAAGGTTGGTGGTGGGGGCGCGAAGAAGACCAAGGCGCGTCCTGGGTTTGAGGGGAGCTTTGGCGGTGGTAAGAAGAAGAAATGATCCTCCTTACCTAGTGGTGTAATCTCTTCATCGCGAGAGGCACGAAGAGGTCACCGTGAGGAACAGAGAAGTGCGAGAGGAGGTTGGCGATGACAGGAGATTAATCGATATCCCCCCCCCCGGAGCAGTGGTGGAGAGGTGTGTTTGAGGAAACCGACCAGCGGTTTTTTGCATCATCACTATGGATGGAAAACGGCGTTCTTGGGACAAAAAAGACTTAGTGTACATTGTTTTGTTTTCTTATGCACAAAAAAAGGGGGACGGACGGCGTAGGAGGGAACCCATGAATACATATTTCAATCGTTCTAGCCATGTCACGACCATCTCCAATTGCTCTGTAAACTTGCACAGAAATGACAAACATCAGTACAGATGGCAGCTTCTTGTCAAGATCCGTTACGGTATGGAGATATTGACATGACTTGGAAGAGAAGAAAGACTTTAGATTCAAGTTCTCACCAACGCCGGATATATCCACATCTTGGAACACTTCGACCAGGACAACATGACAAGGCAAGGAGAGGGAAGCACACAAGCCCACAAACTGATATCTCTCACAGTCTTGTCCCTCCGCGCTCTCGGTTCTCGGGACGTGGACTGAGAGTGTGTTCTGCATTAAAACGATCGCTTACGGTAGAAAAAAAGTAGTTGAAACCCAACCAACTACACGCATGTGTATTTTTCGCCGTCCCATCATCCTTCATTTTTCCTTGCTGGAAACCTTTTTGTTCTCCCATTTGAGGCAAAGGAAGGATATAGCGCCCTTTCATGATATTTTGCCCCCAAGTTGTGAACCCAATATCCTGCTTTCCCACCACCACCTTACATGCTGCACATTTTTTGGTTTAATGGGGAGCACGAGAAAGTCGCTTTCCCCTGTTGCTTTGTTTTATCATTTCTCGTGAGGGTTCGAATATGGTGTGAAGGTTGGGAGAGCTCAATGCTGGGCGTATCGATGTGTCTAGGTTGAGAATGGGATTGAGAAAAGGGGGTCGTATTCCCGAAATTCGCTCAGTGCTCCGCAACTATGCGCTATGCAAGGCTGGGATAGCGGAACGATCGGTTTCGAGGATGTCGAGGTCGATTAGGTTTACAAGAGGGAATCGAGACGGGTGAAGACACTAAGGCAGGCGGCCACAACTTCGAGTTGCAACTCCTTATCCTTGCCCTTGCTGATCTCCTACAAGGTTGTTAGGTCCAGTCTACCAGTCAACGTGGGAAATGGCGTTCAACATACATCTGCAATGACTTGAGGCAGGTTGGCACCAATACCGTTGCCGGTGGCCTTCTTTCCAAAGGGCCATTGGCTGTAGTCGGCGAGGAGCTCGTCTGTCTGGGCAAAGGCGCGCTCGCGGGCCTCGTGGCCGAGGGTGCTGAGGGCGTTCTCGAGCACGTTGGCGGCGTAGGCAGCGCACACCATGGCAAGAGTGCGGACGTAGCGGAATTCGAGGTTCTCGGGCAGGAATTGGGAAGCGGGAAGGACGACAGTACGCTGGGTCAGAACGTTGCGGACGCGGCGGCGGATCTCCTCCTTGGCACCTCCGTCGGCGACGGGGTGGGTCGCCATGTCGAACAGCAAGAAGTTGCGCTTCTCGGTGCGGAGGATGCCCTTGTCGACTAAACCCTTGGCTAGGCGCTCGCGAACCTGTTTTAATTGGTACCCAATCTTCATCAGATTCCAGGTCTCTCCTGTAGGCGGACACATCCGTCAGCCTGAGTGCTTTCCAAGGGCGAAGTGGACGGCGCAGTGCTCCATTTCAGGAGGGGAAAAGGGGGCAGCTTTACCGCTCATCAGGTCAATCCAAGAGCTAACGCTCATCTTCTCGCTCTGCTTCATCATCTTCAACGCCTCGTCGAGCAGTACCTCGCCCGTCAGGGTGTCGTCGATAACTTCGATGACGCGGTCTGCGAGGGGGAAGCGTCTTCTCGAGGCATCCTTCTGCATGCTGATGCGACCGCGGAATGCGAGTTCGATGACGATGCATCCTCTCAGAGCGTATGAGATGTTGTCGTTCCAGAATGACAGGTAGCCCTGCACCGTGTAAAAAACTCAATTAGCGACCTGGCTTCAATTGTGGAAATCGGTGCGTGGCGCTCGTCGTCGGCATACCTGCTTGTCCTTGAGGCCGAGGAGCAGAACCTCCTCCATCAACGTCAGCTTGGGTTGTTTGCTGCGCTCAGCGCTCTCGCTGATATCACGGGGATCGAAGGCGATCTTGTGGCCGTTCTCGCCGCTCTCGTAGCTCGTCTCGGGGGCGCTATCCTTGATGTTGGGCGTTGAGTTGGTCCGGCTGGCGCCATTGCTGGCCTCACCATCGCCGGCCGCGGCGCCTCCGCCTCCACGGCGTCGGGTAAGACCTCCTGCCGCTGCTGACATTGTGTCTGATGTCGAGATGGTGTCGTGGGTATATCGTCAAAAGGGAAAGGGAGGTAGGGCTGGTTCAGGGATTATGCTGAGATTCGGGCCAGGTCAAGCGATGGTCGCAGATGAGACGCTTAGCACTCGTCGCAGGTCGCGCGGGTCGTCACCGGATAGCAAGGCGATGAAGGACGTGCCAGCAAGGTGTTGGAAGGTTACTTGCAGGTCGTAAGGCTGCGGGCGCTCGGTCGTGATGTCGAGGCGCTTTCTTTCTCTCCCTATCTCGGCGATCGGGCCAGGGAGCTGAACAGCTGCTGCGCGGGCTAAAAGGGCCTTTTGGGTTATGTGTCAGGACTTTTGGGGAGACCCTTTGTGATGGTGGCTAGAGATGGCGAGAATCAATCCAATCCTGCCGATGGAGCAAGCTGTTGAATGAAGCAATATGACGAAGGGGAAATCTGACGCTTCAGTCGTGTGCCCTTTGCTTGTATCTCCCCGAAGGCCTGCTTGGTTGGCTAAGTTTTGGCCCCTTCTGCCAGTAAATGGAATTTCTCGCAGCCTGGAAATTGCACCGCCCCAGCTGTGGTGCACGGGCCATGTCTGTCTGTTGAGCTCCTGTGGCGCCATGAGGCTTGGGCTCCACCTTGAAGCACGACACAATGGATGGATGGAAGGGAGGGACCTTCTTCCCCCCCCCCGCTCGTGGACCCTGACTAGGCATCTTTTGTAAACAATACGATGTTGCTCCGTACCTTACATACTGAGATATCTCCATCTGACCCTTCACATGTACGCGGAGATGCTGTCGTGCTCTCTGTTCTTGAACAGGCCATCATTGAGGCATCATGATGTGTGATTTCCGCCGCTAAAATCGCAGCATTGAGCTCCGCCGGTGCCGACATTACTACCCGTCTTCGCCGGTCTTGACTCAGGCCATTAAAGTCTATTTGATCAATCAAATCCACAATTTCTTGTCTTGTTGTCAACCTGTCTGTTTCACATCGCGATATCCATTTTTCCGCCTCAATATCATATCTTATCAGCGACTCCCGATAACACGTGGCTGGACGCGTGTGCTGAATGAAATAGGTTTCCACCCCTGGCATTGACACCCTGTCTCACTAGGGGGAAACGGCGAGCTGCGCGAAGCACTTTTTTGATGCCCTCCAACATTCCTTCACACTCAACGGCCAGCGTGGCCTCGGCACGCCTTGTAGCCTACCGAGACAACTGACGAGTGTGCATCGCTGTGCCCCCAGAAAGTTGAAGGAGTAAAGGTAGAAGAAGCATACACATTTAACTCCATTCATCGCAGATCTAGCAGCTTAAAAACGTCTACAAAATTGCTTACCAGATCCTATGCAATCGACACATGGCAGAATGCTGCGTACGGGTACTATTCGGCTTCAGTGGTTTTCAGTGATTAGCGCGGTTCTTGCAGGGCATGGCGTAAGGAAGCTGGTCCGATTGACCCGCTTAATGTGGATCCAACTTCCCCGCCGACCACCGATCGCCGCCGGAGCTCTTACGTGAAGATGCCGGAACTCCTCCGGGTTATTCTTCCGAAGGCGGAGCGGGTGTGTGGGAGCCCTTCCACAAGGTGACAACGAGGAATTCATCTTTATATCCGGTTCTTTAATTCATGTTTCCGCTCTTGAGACTGACATCTGGTCGCCAAATAGCCAAGCCACGAACCCCGGCGGCCCTGGGCGCATGCTAGTGACCGACTGCGGCCTCATGCATCGCTGAGAATCTCTTTCCCTCTGGCTTGTTGGCTTCCACTACTTTTCTAATGGCAAGAATTTCACCCTCAGTCAACTCTACATCCCGGGAGGCCCAGTTCTCCTCCAGCCTCTTCGGCTTGGTGGTGCCCGGAATAGTGATGAGACCTTGAGCAGCTACCCAGGCCAGGGCAAGCTGGGCGAGAGAACAGCCCTTTTCGGCAGCGATTTTCTTCATCTCATCCACAATAGCTTTATTCTTGTAGAAGCTCTCTCCTTGGAACTTGGGGACTTTGATGCAGGTCAGAGATATGTCTGTTAGAGAGAAGAAAAGGAAGGCATATGAGCGGCTGTGACTACATACCAGTTCGACGGAAGTCATCGGGCGCGAAATCTTCGGGGCTTTGGTAGTCGAAGTTGTCGACCAACCAGCCATGGCCCAATGGACTGAATGCTACAAAGGCAACATCCAACTCCTTGGCCGTTTGGATGAGACCGCTCTCCTCGTGGAGAGTTTCGAAGGCAGAATACTCCGCTTGAACTGCATCAACTTTTGCGACTACTTGAGTGTCAGCATTTACCTGCAGCACAGATGACGTTCAGTTGTTGCAGCGGGCGGGACATACTCGAGTTGGCCTCGCGCAGTGTCTTGGCAGAACACTCTGACAGTCCGATGTACTTGGTCTTTCCCTCTTTCCGGATCTCATCAAGAGCAGCTATGGACTCCGACAGAGGTGTCTCTGCAATCTTCGTTAGATGAGTAAATAGGAGCCAGAGGGGGCATCATACTCGGGTCGATTCTATGCAAGTAGTACAGGTCTGGGGCGAAGCCTAGCCTCTCGATGGTACCGTCGATATAAGCCCGGATGTGAGATCTCGAGTTGGTGACACTGCGGTCCTTGAAGACATCAAAGCCACACTTGGAAGCGACTTGGTATGGAAGGTCAGTACCAGGCCCAAATGTAATGCCTCAAGTCAACTCACCAAAGACCTTGTCACGGACGTTGTGCTTGCGGATAAAGTCCCCGAGAATCTTCTCATTGAGGCCTGCGTCGTAGGCAACCTGATAGCGAATAAGCAAGCTGCGACAGGGATCTTGTCATGTGCAGATTAGACTTACAGCAGTGTCCCAAAAGGTACAGCCCAACTCGATTGCTTTCAGGAGCACCGGCTCCGCCTGCTCGGCCGAGAGCCTAGTTCCCATGGCCGATGTGATGCCCATTGCACCGAATCCCGGTACAGGGACGCGAATAGCGCCAAAAGGAATAGTCTTGACCATGTTGGTATGCGATTGGAGTGACGAAGGTGTATGTGTGGGGACGACGAGTAAGAATAGGATGACTTTGTGCAGCTGCGAGTGATACCTCATTTGCAAAGGACTGAGGGACAGACTATGTGACTTTATATAACTTCTTTTTCAGGGTCGCCATCATCGTTTGTGAGGCGGATTCAAGGTCTTTCGTGGGCCTCAGCATTGCAACGTATCCCTGGCTTACAGCTTTCGGCCCAGACATTTTCTTGAGAGCGGTAAGCAGACCGCAGATTTACTGGCTATAAGAAGTAAATCCGAACGCCAGATTTACAAATTCTTTGACTTGTTCTGCTTACGGCTTCGTTTCGAAACTAGCGAGTCATCGTACTGGACTTATGACGTTCGGCTCCGTGTGCAGGGGTGTCAGCACCTGCTAAAGGCCGCGTCTAAGTCCGCTAGCCCCCACAGCTCGGATGACAACCAGCAAAGTCTTAAGCCTCTTGAGTCTACCTATCTTATTCTATATCACCAAACCTCTTTACGCTACGTTCTTACCACCAAATTCTTGAGTTATCATCGCGGTCTTACAGCTTACGAAACAGAAGTCCCCCGGAGCCGCAGGTTTCGGAGCCGGTCTGCCGCTAAACGCAGCTTGACATCGTAAAGCCAGTGGTAGTACTGGGCCGCCAACTCAACTCTACAAGGCATAGATTGACAGAGCATTATTTCTTCGGAAGCAGTTTACGTCTTATGTGCCTCTCAATCCGATCTTCTAGTGAATATGGGGAAGTTGATGTAGCCATGGGTGAATATAAAGGCAGGCTATACGTTGATTCATCCACATGATATTTGCTTTCATTCGCTCGCATGGCAACTTGATGTTCTTGACTTCCTAGCAAGACTATCTATAATGCGTTCGGGTCTTGAACAATCCACTGTCTCTGTATATAATAATGTCTCGGTGACCATGGCCATGATCGTCCAATGTGCCCAGATATGTCGACAGCCGCTCGGCCAGATTCCCGGTATCTTGGTTCTCGGAAAGCTAACCGTCGGATTGTTCAAATGAGTCACACTGAGAATGCGTTTAAGCCCGACCAACTGATGTGCTGTGCTGAGCTCGAAGGCTACAGGTCCTCCACTCCCCCTCAGCCAAGTCACTGACCAGAACTTTTTCTGTAGATAGTGATAGGCCATGGCGAGACAAGCAATTTGTATGACAGCAGACAATGTTCACTATGGATTCTCTATGCTCCCTTGTCTTTGCTTCAGTGTACTCTAGTTCAGAAACTTTCTTGTCTTACTTGATGCGCATGACGAATATGGCAGGCACACTTAGCATTATCGTTGGCTGCTCATACAGTCTACCTATGTCAGAATGTTGCTCTCCACGAGAAAATGTAGGGCTTCTAGAACGCTGCCAGGTGTCTGACCAAACACTTGGTTAAGGTGCGGGATCATGCTTGGTGGCGTGAACCTTGAGTTCCAGGTCGACTGAGCCCCGTGGACCGTGGTATCGACCCCAACACATCTCCGCCGCTCTACCGTGGCTTAGAGCAGTCAGAATGATTCCGGAGATACGTTCTCAAGATAATACCCCGGTTTAGAATCTTCAAGACGTATTTCCGGCACCTGCTTTGCACAGAACCACTGGAATTTCTAACTCAATGAACACCGGGGCCTTGTAGAGTCCCCGGTTAGCCAATGATCTTCTTAACATCGTAGACTCTACCGAGGAGGCACTGTACTGGAACTTGCTTGTTCCGATAGAAATATCGAGTCTTTGCAGTATACGAACCAAATTTGAGTAGTTAGACCGTTGCGGTCCTCATCCATAAACTAATATAAACCGCAGTTCCCCCCAAAGATTCTCATTCTCTTCGCTCGACATCCACAACACTCTTCTTCATTGCATACACTTATCTGCGTTCTTCAAATTCTCTTCTTGAACATACCATACTTCTCTTCGCCTCATACAAGCACCTCTCGTATACAAGACTCCACCTCTTCTCAACAGACAAACACATCTTTATTTACCACTCAAGATGTCTTCCCCTGAGTTCTCATACAGTGTCCTTGGCCCACAATGTATGGCTATTATCTGCCTCGCGGGAAAGCTTGCCAATAGGACCCAAAAGACCGGAAGTGAAGATTACTTCCCCAGTGCGGCTCACTCGCGTATATTCGAGGGCTTTGTTAATCAGTTTATTCGACCTAAAACATCCGTCATTCATCAAATTCCCCTTGAGGAGCGCATTGACCTCATCGAAGAGTACTATCGCGAGGCAAACTGCTTCCAAAACTACAGCAAGGAAGGACAGCAGAAGTCTCTCAAGAGAATGTTCTCTATATGGTTTGAAGACATCAAGAGATACATGCCAGAGATGTTATTTTTGATGCCCACACAATCTAAAAAAGCACCGAAAAAGGACAACTCCACAACCAACACACCCGCTTCTCCTCACTCTCCGGGGAAGCCAGTCAAGCATTCGACCAAGAATACACCCACACCCAAGAAGGACAAGCCCAAGTCTCTCCTTTCTACCAAAAGAAGACGCGAAGGGAGTGAAGAACACGAGGGCGAAGCCCGTGGTTCAAAGAGAAAGAGGCTGGTGACTCCTAAGAGCACCAGCGGCTTGAAAAGCCCCAGCCTGTAGCAGCAGCAACAACTGAAGCAGCGGCTGCCGGATGGACAGGTCGCGCGTATCGGGCGCCGAACTCAAGGCAAGAAGTAAACATTGCAGATCACCACACTGCGTAATTAGTCGTGGGTGTCTGTCAGCGACACTCTTCTAAGTTATAGAGCCCGTGCCTCTTCGCTTACAAGCAGTTGTCTATCGTCGAAGGAGTTTTCGGATGCGATACCCTACGGAGATATTGGGTGGGAGTTTGGGTTTGATAACTTGATCTGAGGCCTTTAGTTGTTTCATGGAATCATGGGTCATGGCGTTTGGTTCTATCACATTAGCTTGTTTATTCGACAACACTGCTTCTCACTGCACTTCAATTGAACTTCATTGCCGTAATCATTGCTTGTATCCTTAAAAACTGACGTCAGTGAACGACTGATAGATTACGAATACGGATAAGAATGCATGTTATACTGATCACACCTCTCTGCTAGATACTTGCTCTGCCTGAATAGCTTTGAAGACAGCGCTGCCGTATCTTTCATCACGCCAATCACTAACAAAGCCAGCAAGTGACTAATAAGGTGTCTCATTTCATTCCTGAACATAGGAGATCAATGTCCTCAAGGGCTCATCGGCGGGAGACTCAGCGAGTAGGGTTGCTTTCTCCAACTATAAGTCCTACTTAATTGCCCTCAATTCTGACCGTCATCGGCCCATCATGCTTTTCATCCCTCTCCATGTTATCCGCAAACACTTCCACCTTGGTCTGGGCAAACTTGCGGGCACTCACACGGTTCTCGAACAGCAGTTCAAGCTCAGCTGGGGAGCGTCCCTTTGGTTCGGGAAGACAAAAGTACGCCCATACGAGTTCGCAGAAGCAGATGCCTGCCCAGATAAATCCTCCCTTTCCTCTCAAGTTCCAGGCGCTGGGGTTGATAATCGGTGGGTTTAAGAAGTTGGCACCGATGCTAGCCAGAAGGTACGCATTGCGAGCAATAGCAACCGTCTTGATTCGGAGTCGGGTGGAAGGGATCTCTGCGACTAAGCAGTAGCAAGTCGGCCCGACGGTCATGTCGTAGGTGATGACGAAGACCATCAATAAGGCCCCGGATGCCCAGCCTAGATCCGGACGAGGGGCTGGAATGCCCATGCCGCCGACAATCACCAGGACGGTGAACATGACGCAAAGACCGACGACGTATAGGGTACGGCGTCCAACGTGAGGAAGGAGGAACCAAGAGAGGAAGGTGCCGACGATGGCGATGGCTGTAGTTCCCAGACCAAAGTTGAAAGAGTTGTCCGAGTCGAAGCCAGCTTGTTGAAGGAAGTAGATGACATTGCCACCGAACCAGATACCACAAGCAACTTGTCCCACCCAGACAAAGCAGGCAATCATCGTACGGCGAAGGTTGGTGCCACGAAAGCAGTCGATGTAGGATGTGCCCTCCGAGTTCAGTCTCTCCATCTCGTTCGTGTGGGCAATCATAGCGATGCTGACGTCGAGCTCGGCATCCTTTGTGGAGGAACTCGCCAGACGACGCAGAGCATTACGGGCATCGGTCAGACGGCCTTTGCGAACCAGCCAAGTCGGGCTTTCGGGGGCCAGAATAACGCCAACCATAATAGGCAAGGGGAATACCCATTGGATGGCGTAGGGAATGCGCCAAGCCCAGTCGTCGGGGCGAGAAAGAAGTCCTCGAAGGATGCCGGTTCCGATGAATTGTCCAATGACCCAGCACATATTTGTATAAGTTGTCATGATCGGTCGAAGGGCCATAGGCGTGACATCCGCGGCGTAGGTTGTCGTCAAAGCTTGGAAAGCACCCCAAGGGAGGCCACAAAGCAGGCCTCCTGCCAGAAGGTAGCCAATGTTCTGCGCAAAGAAGAAGAGAAAGACGAAGGCGATGTTAAGTACTAGGGCACCGAGGAAAGTCTTCTTGTATCCATAGCGTTCCGCGACGATGCCACCGATGAAGAGCCCAATCATTTGGCCAACTTGAGTAGCGTTTTGCAAACCCGACTGCCATGTCGATGTAAGTTGATAGTCGCCGTTCTCCAAACGCACTCCAAATCGTTGACGAAATTGCGGCAAGCCGTAAAAGTTGCCAATCAGGGAAGTATCGTAAGCCTCCATAACAATGCAGAGTGAGAGAACCATTGAGAACGCCACAGACTTTGGATATGCCCGGAAAGACTCCATGACTGACATGTTCTTCTGGCCCTCCGTCGCCTCTTGAGCATCGTGAGCTACATGATTGAGAAGTACCGGCTCATGTTTGTCGTGCTTCTCTGCAGCACTCGGATCTGAGAGTGCAGCTGCAGACTCGACGTTGACCGAGGTAGGCGCCATTGATAGCACAGACTTTCGACAGCTGATAAGATGATAGGAAAAAATGGAGAGAGCTGCAGTGGAGTCTGGGGAAACCTGGGGAACATGTTTCCGAGTTCGGGACCATGAAGAACTATTTATCTTGATGCCTCCTGCTCGTGTACGTTGACTCCCGTGAGAAAAAGCCATCAACGTGCCCTTCCCCAGAAACATATTGTTAGCGCCATCATCATCCCATGATTAACCCGCTTGATCGGACGCAGTCTTGGCTGGCTTCCACCGACTTGCAACTTTTTCTGTGGCAATCAGGTGTTTGTTGACTCGGGATTCGAAGAACCTACCCGTGTAGGGCCGTAGTGTTGGTTCAATGTGGATAATGCGGGTTGGTCCGGGGATATTTCAAGCGAAAAGTTCAAGCGACAAAGCCTAGACTCTTGTGCCCGGTTAAATTCTCGTGGGAATTTTGAAGACCCATCAAACCCGGTGACCTTGACAAGGAGGGGCCCCCCACAGCCGGTGGGCAGAATAAGGAAACCCGTGTCCGGGTCCCCGTACCCCACAAGAGTCGCTTGATTTACTCGCCTGAAATAGTATTTAGGAAAGGCAACTGCAGTCCTTCAGACTTGAAACCAGAGCTGGCTATTCTCATAATTCACTTTTCCGACATCTCATGTAATCGTCACGTTCGAACCGGAGTATGGAGAAGGGCAAGAAGCGTACAAACTATCCCTGCGACGGATGCTCGCTTCGGCGAGTAAGATGCCACTTACAAGGAAGCAGTCCACCCTGCAACGAGTGCCGAAAGAGATCAGTGGAATGCACATTCATTCGAATTCCACGGAAGAGAGGACCGAAAGGACCTCGATCGAGTACCACTCACAAAGTGGTCAATTACCAAGAACAGATTCGACAGAATCGATCAGGCCTCCCTCTTCCGGCCCGTGGTCCAACGCAGAGCCCCAGATCACCGTCAACTCCCGGTGTGGAGAACGAGAGTGATACCCAGCAAAGACCTTTGGAGGTTTACATCGAATACTTGGACAAGTTCCGAGACCATCTAACATGCGTTTGGCCCGTCGTCAACGTGGAATCACTAAAGTCCCGAATCAGTGGTTCGCCGGTTGATGATAATGCATGGGCACTAGCTGGAGCCATATGTGCTACGGTAATTGTGCAGTTACGACTATCTCAATTACGGCTTTCCAAGCAGCACAGTTTGGTTTCAGATGACAGAAATATTGCAGAGAGCTTTGCACATCATGCGCAACTCTCGCATAATCTGAGCAACCAGCATCATCAAAGCACGTACTACAAGGAAGATACAACAGAGTCCCTATTGACTGCCTTCTTTCTGCACGTTTACTTTGCCAATACAGAACGCATCAGATTGGCCACGATGTACTTACACGAGGCAATCGCTCAAGTACATCTGCAAAGTCTGCACCGTCCAGAAACCCTGGTCAGTCTTGAAGAGGAACAAAGAGAATTACTCTTACGAATCTTCTGGCTGGTGTTCGTAACAGAGAGGTGAGTCTACCACCTACTTACCCTGCCTACGACTGTTTCACTCGATCAGCCTCCCTTTGGAGAGGATCGAATAGCTAACAGAGAAGTAACAGAACATTCTGCGTTCAGAATTGTTTCCCACCATGCCTCAAGCCAATTCAGACCTTCCCGCTTTCCGAATTTCACATCCGAGGAGTCGGCGAAGTAGACGCTTCCTTCCAACTCCTCGCCCAACTCTTCACCCTTCTCGACGACAATATCATCGTAGCGGCAGACAGAGGGGGAGTCCTTCCCGACTCCAGCACAGCCGATAACCTCTACAGCGCCCTCTCGGCCATGGCCAAGCAAGACTTCTCGACCCTGGCCCCCAAAATCCCAGAGACGCAGCGAGTCAACGTACTGATGACGGGGAACTGGATCCACATTCTCTGGTGGCAGTTCGCCTTGAGCCACTACCAGATGTCTAGCCGCATGGACGATGCCATGCTCTCTATGCTGAAGCCCGCCAAGGTTGCACACGAGACCATGCGCTTGCTCGGGTCTGTTTCTCAGCAGGCCATTCGGACCCACGGATATGGCCTAGTAAGTTAATCCACGCACGTAGATCTACCGAGGTTCTGGCTCCCGTCGAGACCGCTGACTGGTTTACCCCTTTTTTCTTGCTTGATAGGAGCTAAAAGTCTTCCGTATTGCCGACGCTCTCATTGACATCCTGGCTTGCAACACGTGGCTCTCTAGTTCTTTGCAACCCGGATGCAATAGCATGCTTCTGGGAGCCAGGGACGTACTGCATTCTCTTCAGAAAGCTCTTTTGCTTATTGGTGGGCCAGAGTCTTTGTTTCATAAGAAGCTGATGCTGGTCATGGCCGAATCACAGCTAGCGGTTCCTGATGTCAAGGCGTTGACGCTGTGTGAGGAAGAAGAATGCGTTGATGATTCGTAGAAGACACCAAAACCAGTAAATTACCTCACTGGTTGACTCCATCTATTGCATACAGAAGTATTTGAATTATTTGACCGTCTCTTCGGGATGTTTCAGTGACTGGCCAGTTCCAAGACAGCATGAACTCCCCCGTTGTTCATGGGCCCCGCTCGATTCATCTACCTATTCGCAAATTTGATGTGTCAAGTGACACGCCAGGCATTAGTTATTGCGAGAAAATCTAGCGAGGAATGATTCTTTTCAGTCACAGGATGGCACCGGCTGTGGCACGAGAGTCCCTTTCGGTGGTGTCATGGAGTGATGTGGCAAAACTGCATTGCCATCAAGCCATGTTGCGATCCGGTGGGATTGCCATACCCCGGAGCTTGGCTGGGCACCGTTATAATGAGGGAATTGGTTGCAATAGCAAGTATTCCCAGCTACAGGGTTACCACTGATTCCATTTCCGGGACAGACAACAAAGTCCTCGACCCCAAGTATCGATTCACAGCCTTCAACATTGCTGTTATATGTTTCGAACGTGCTAATCATGGTATCGTTGAAGGCCAAACATCAAACTTTGCCATAAAGCTACAGCGTTCTCGAGCAACTAAGTCCCGCTGCCAAAGACCCATGCTACGCCGCCCCTGAAAACTATTCCACGCACGATACGAAGCCGCTCAGCCCAACCGAACTCAGGAATGAGATGAAGAAGAATCCATACTATGGGGGACACATCGAGGATTCTGATTGAGAAGTCGACGTCGGGGGAAGACAACCTGAGTCCTGGGCGGACACGTCTCTAAAGAGGTCTTGAAGGCCTTTAACGTCTCGAGACACACCCCTTACCTGCCTCGCTGGGCTCTGTGGAGTTGACAGATGCCCTTCGATAAGCGTACGACACAGGAGAATCTCGTGCTCATGGGCAAGTACCGCAAATGCGGCGTGTCGCCGTCTGTTACCGTGATAGTCCGGGGCTAGCACCTGACGAAGACCGAAGACGAGCCAAAGTCTAGCTAATCCTCCTACACATGCCATAAGAGTCTTGCCTCCCGTGACCGCGCGATTCTTGGTTTATTTTTTTCCCTTTCTGCGTAGAGCAGTGGGCGATGGAGTCAAAGGGGGCATTTATTTGCTGGTGAGAAACGATACCGTCATGACTATAGTCCTCTGGACCTGCCGGAGACTGGCGTAACCACCCCCTGACAGCAACACAACATCTCTCCTGACCCCATGCTTGTAAGGTTCCCAAATCTGGATTCCGATGCTCTTGACTATGATATGGCATGAACGTAGACCTCGTTCAACCCCGAGTTGGCTCAGCACTAAGGCAATACCCAGACGAAGACATCAATACTTACACTACATCACACCAGATAAAACCCTCAACTCATTGATCATGTTTTCATTTCGATCTCGATTCGATTCTCAGCCCAACAGCAGCGGCCCTACTACAAGAGAAAAAAACAACTAAACTACTACGACTGTTGAACAAAAACACGCCATCTATCAACTCCAAGCGGGCATCGCATCGCAATCGCATCGCAATCGCATCAACAAACTCAAAGAGAGAAAGAACAAAGTAGAACCCTAGACAGCATGCACGTATCAACCCCTGGCATTCCCTTTTAACAATCTTACAAGAAATAACTTGATACGCATACGCATGCCATGGAAGCCACCGACAACGTAAGATGAGGGAGGAATCATGGAGGTGATCAACCAAAGTGCTGTCATGAGAGATAGACTTTGCGGATGGCCAGTTCCCATCCCGTAATCTGTCCAAGTTCCAGAGTCTTCTTGTTCCCTCGCCCTCATTCCGAAACAACAAGAAAGCAAAAGAGATAAACCTCCCGAACTTCTTCCACCTTTCCATAATGAAGGGTGGCGGTCCTGTCCTCTGCAGTATATGAGATGAGTAAAAAAGCAACATCGTTAACCAAATAAAAACTACCCGACCCTTCTTCTCCAGTCCGAGGCGGAGTATCTCCCGCGCTGCAGTACCGCCAACGGACAAGAAAACTTCAAACCCACCCTTCCCCTGTTGAAAAATGACAAGAGACCAGACCGTTCATCTCCGGTCTCATCTGATAAATGACCTCCCCCATGAATGACCGCCAATTTGTTGGCTTTTTGGGTATCCCAGTCTTCTTAGTTAATAGCCGCGCCGAGCTATGTAATTCGGAGTTTTTTTTCTTTGTGCAGCATTATATCTTCCCTTTCCGTACGATGAAACGACGATCCAACCTCAACGCCGAGGGATGTTTGTTGAAAATGAAAGAGGAGTGTGGATCAAAAACGTATATTGAAGAGTTGTATGATACCAAGCAATGTCTGAGGGTTAGTGATGCAAAGAGACTGCTTCGAACGAATGCGAAAGCCGACTCAAACGCCTCTGCGACATGCTTCTGAAAGGGCGGTAATGGAAAACCTCGTTCCACTAGGCACTCGCTGACAAGATCGCCAGTAAGCCGCCATGTTGGTATATGTGGAACGGGTATATATAGGTGAGAAATCCAGTGTCAGGGTGTCCCTGTCACTCATCTCTCAATGCTCTCGGGACTCATCATACCCATGGGCTCGTCCTTGTCTGTCTGACTGGCGTTGCCTTGGCTTTGCATGCTCTCGTTCCGCTCCATGCTTGAAGGCAGCGCGATCGCCGCTGGGGTGGGCCCGGAGCCGTTGATGTTGGCGTGCTTGACTTTCTTCGCCGGTGTAGTTTCGCCCTTCTTCTCTGGTGAAGCATTGACGTCCTTGTTGGCTTGCGCTGCCAGTTCCATCTTCTTCTTCTTCTTGGCAAGGGCAATCTGCTCCTTGGGCGGCCGCTTCTGCGGCGAGACAATCTTTCCAGATGCACCAAGACGGGGTCTGGGCCGCCTCTGCTTAACAGGCAGCTCTTCATCTTCGACCAGGGGCGTATCGCCATTAGCGTGCAACTTGGCCAGAAAGAAGTTCTTGACGAGACCAATCTGGCCGTGGATGTTCTCCGTCGTGATGGGCTCAACAGGCGGCAAGGAGTCGAAGAGGTCGGTGACCTCCGTGCCAACCGTCTGCGTCTGCATCTGGAATTGGTTGCGAACACGGGACTGGAGCAAGTGAAGAGGAACCGAGAGCATATCAAGACCCATCTCCTTGTCCAGACCCAGGGCCTTGAAACCAAAGAAGTCCTCGCCAAGATCCTCAGCGAAGTCACCACTAACGAACTGCTCGCTACCGTCTTTGAAGGCACCGACACCATCTTGTCCGGCTTCCTGGGTGAGGGCGGGCCGCAAAAGCTCGGTGAGATGGAACTTCATACGTTCGTGGATACCGCCAAGCTTCGAGCTGAGTCGGTCAACTTCGTCCTTAGCGTAAGACTCCAGACTAAACAGGTCGCATCCATTCTCGTCGAGCGTGTGCAAGATAATTTCCTCGGGGGTGAAGCGTGACTGGAATCGAGAGCTTCCCTCGGCACGGATTGCAGGTGCCTCGATCTTCTCCGCCTCGCGATACACATTGAAAGTCTTGATGATCTTCTCGAAGTAGTCGGATGCTAAGCTGGTCATGGTGTCGATGGCTGAGGGCTGAAGCTCCTCAAAACCGGTGTGGTAGAGGATCTTGGCTACAGAGCGCTGCAATGCACTACGGCAAGTCTCTGGTGCAATGACGGGACCATCATCTGCAATGAAAGATGGCTCGGCATCCTGCTCTATAAAAGATTCGTAATTGGACTTGGGAAACTGGTTGTTGTAAACCTAAAAAACACGAGTTAGAAGACTTATCCACCTGCCGACGACACCTGTATATACCTGAGTCTGGATCTGCATCTGCTTAATCACGCCGATCTTGCTCGATAGTTTCCTCGTCTCCTGGATCTGATGAATGTTGCTGTCGATCTTGCTGGCAAACTTGCTCTTGGGTGCCTTGAAGTGACCTTCGGGAATCATGCGGAGATATTCCTCATGTTGATTGATGACGTGGCCCTCACCATCCTCGATCCACTGCAGCTTGGGTTGAATGTCTGGGAGGACCGTCAGAGGTTCGTAGTAAGCCGGTACAACCTTCTCCTCTTCTCCTTCCATGCCCTCTGCTAGTGTTTCGGCAGGCTTCGCGGCCTCTTTAGCAGCGATAGCAGACGAGTCAGCCTGGGCTTGGCCAATGACACCTAGTGTCTCGGCTTCTTTTTGCCCTCTCAAATACCACCGTATGCCGGCCTTGTTTCGGAGCAGGGCAGGAGCGTCGGTGTTGAGCTTGTTGTCCTTGAAAAGCTGATACCTTTCTTTGGCGATAAGTGCGCGGTCCTTCTTCGTTACTTGCTTCCAGATCTTGTACTCGTCGTCCTCGTAGGCCTGTTCTGCAGCCTCGTTGAGAGCCTGTCCCAAGGCCATGCCGTTCAACGTGGGCCCGTCGATATCCATGGCATCGGCGTTGCTTCCAATGCCTGAGTGTCCATTAACGCCGCCAGGAGTTGCGGAACCAGCGATGGGTGTGCCGAATCCGCTACCGTCGATTGCCTCAGAGCCTTCTCTGCCCTTAGCAAGCAGGCCATTAAGCTGCAGCACCGGCTTCTGGTCAACGCTGGGGGTGCCCTCCTTCTGATCGGTAGGTTGTTTCCGAGACTTGGCGCCCTTGGTTCCGGCAGTACGACCGCGAGATGACATTATCGGCTCATCGTCCGAGTCGTCACCACCGTCTTCCTCGCCGCCATTCTGTTTACGGCGCTCTTCTGCCTCGACCTCGGCTCGCGGACGGATGACTAGGTCCGGAATGAGAGGAATCAGCTTCTCTGCCTCTTTCCTCATGCCATTGGCCATCCGTCGCAGAGGGTGTCCCATATCTTGGTTGTATCGCAGGCAGTTGTCCCATATCAGGTTAAGATCGGTGACGAAATCAGCCTTCGATTTATACGTGAGGGACTTGATCTTCTTGGTCATAGATCCCATGTCCATTGGCTGCTTGATGACTGCATCGTGCCGAGGGTGGTTAGCCAATCCGGATCGAACTTGTCTGCCTGGAAACAACTTACGGTTATAGTAATCCGGCGCATCCCTCTTGTTCACCCTCTGTAGAAAGGGCGTTGAGTATTCCGTATGTGCCTTCAGCTCCGTCAAGACCTTCTCGAGGGCCTCGTACAACTCTTCTTGGTTGACGTTCTCCTCGCTGGCCCATTTACTTCGGTTTTTCCGTACTTCATTCATGAGCGATCGCAATTCGGCGTCAGAGGCGCGGACCTGGTCGCGTTTCATGTCTATCCTCGCAATCAAGTGCTTGAGGGTCAAACTCGACGCGCCCAGGTTGGCGCTGCTGAGCGACCCGTGGTTTTCGGCCTGGGCGCCATTTGTCTGGCTATGGTTGTTGTTATTTTCCATTTCGGCCTGCAGTTGTTTTTCGGATTCCTCCAGCTGCTGCTGCTCCAGCATAGCAGTCCGGTCGTTTTCCAGGGTATAGAATATGGTATGGAAGCTCCGTCTCGCCGCTTCTTCGGTCGCGTTACGCGCCTCTTCCAGCTGTTTGCGCGCATCTTCGCTCGTTTTTTTGGTGCTGTCTCCAGATCCGTCGGCCTGTTTGAGTTTCTCGAGGAGCTTGCCGGGGGAGCTGACGGAGTGCACGGGCGAACTTCCGGACTTTGAGGGGGAGAGCAGCGAGCCGGCGCCGGCGGCCGCAATGCCATTCGTAGGTTTACTCGAATCGGCGGCGGTCGCGTCTTCTTCTTCATCCTCGTCATCGTCATCGCCGTAATCGTCTTCGTCGATGACCCGCTTGGCCTTCTTTAATGGAGGCTCTTGGATCGGCGCATGGTCGGTGGTAGGGGGTAAGATGGAGGGGGAGGGGGCGGAGGGGCGGTGCAGCGCATCGATGGCGGGATAGTTGTATGATCCGTCATCAGCGAACAGCAGCGAGATCTTTGCCTCGCTCTTGTGATAAAGATCTTTGAACAAGGCGCGTCGTCGTTCCTCTTCAATATCAGGTTGTGCCTCAGGCATCAAGGACATTGAATGGTCGACGGGGGTTCCGTTTCGCGCAGGACCATCATCAAGTTGATGGAACAGGCGACTAGAGGGTTGGTGATGAAGGGACGGCGGCTGCCATGCGTGGTGGCCATTGGGGAGGGACATTTTGTGCCCGGATTGATGATAGCGACAGGTGGGCGGCGTGTCGCCATGCGCAAGGAAATGCGCTCGTCAGGGACCGAGTCCGGGCGGCAAAGGGTCGTTACGAGCGCATCAGTAGATAGAGCGACATCGATAGAGATGGCCTGAAGGATTCGGAGACGTGACGGGTTGTGGTTGTTGTGTATTGATGGATTGCAATAGGGGGTGTTTTGGGTGGTTCCGAGAGGTGAGGTTGAGGATTTGGAGAGGCTCGTACGCAAGTACGCGATGGAACTTTTCCCTTGCCTGAAGACGGCGAGTTGGCCGCTGCTAGCGGTACACGGAACCTTGGTTGACCACGAGTTACGCAGCACAGACCACCACGAAGACTGTCGCATGTACTCAAAAATGATTTCTCAAGGTCTCAGTATGCTCGTCAATTCATCTACCTTTTTTTCGGACCCAGAAATGAAGTGCACTGGGGTGATGATGGGTGCCGCGATTGCGGGATGCAGGTACATGAACTTCCAATGCCGACGACGGCGCGAGCGGAGGCCACCGTAATTCCCCCCCCTTGGCCCAGCGCTGAGCGATCGGATCGCGTACGTCTTTGTCACGTGATGGCCCCAGCCAACCAGTCGCAGTCAGCAACGAGCCATGAAGCGCACCCAGGCACCAAAGCACGGCAGGCGGACCACCAACAACAACAGAGAGTTCGCATTTGGGGGGGAAGAGGAACTTGGAAGTACTTTAATGCCGAACGGAGTGGTGATGCTTATGTGATTTTCAGGAGGCTGCAAATGTCAGAAAAGTCTCCAGCGACTCTCCGCAACACCACCAGACATCTCAATTCCCTCCCTTTATACATCATCCCGTGCACCTCGATTCCCTCCACCCACCCCCAGTGACCTCATCCGCATCCACGGGCGCGCATCGCGTCTGTCCCCCCCAGACATCCATATCGCGACAGTACCAACTGCGGCCCACGGCATCTTCCGCCCGGGCCACCTGAACCCGACCAAGCCGGGCCCCCTCCATCTTGCTCCAAAATCCTCGGGGCCTTACCCCTGTCCTCGAAAAAGGCCCCCCCGTACGCAGTAAAAGCCTGGGGTTGGGGCGCCACCACTGCACATCTCCTTCCGTCAGTGGGCTGAACTCCATTTTCGCGTTCCCGCAGGGCCGCAGCAGCCAGCAGGGAAAAAAAAGCTCTCCCTCGCTCGCCCCGATCCAGTCACTTGGGAGCTCCGGCCAGCTGGACACCTCACCCTCGTCTGTGACGACCCCATTACGAACAACCCTGGTTCTTTCCTCATCTCGAGAACAAACGAATCCTCGACCACCGTCTTCCTGCGAGTTTTGTCGAGTAGCTGACCTTACACACCTCCATCACTCGAGCCGCCCATCAATTCTTTCGAGACACTCCAAGAGCTTAGCTACCTAAGCTACCATCGCAAGCTACCAATCACACCACCATCTGCAGGAGCTGCTGCAGGTCTCTTCAAAATGCGGATACGTTTGCCCTTTGCAGGTACGTCAAGAGTCTCAACTGCAGTAACCCATGGTTCTGGATCTCCATCGATGCCTTGCAGTGCCGAGTGGACAAGCTCCAGTTCCAGTTAAGCTCCAGTAGAGCTTCATCTCTATTTCAGCTCCAACCCCAACTCAAGCTCGCAAACCACCCGTTCACAAATCTCGCTAACACTCTCCTCTCCAGGCGTCTTCTTCGCCCTCCTCCTCGTCGCAGGCTATGCAGGCCTGACAACCCTCCAACTAGGCCAATACGTAAACGACAAAGTCCTCCACTTTGCAACCTTCTTCCTCCTCACCCTCGTCTTCTACTGGATCCTCGACACCAACCGCCGTCGCACCCTCAACCTCACCCTGACCGTCTGCACCTTCATCCTCGGCGTCGGCTCCGAGTTCCTCCAGGGCTTCCTCCCCAACGGCCGCGAATTCGACTTCTACGACATTGTCGCCAACGTCGTTGGATCTCTTGCGAGCGTGGGACTGTGCTCGTGGTACCACAAGCGCATGCTGGAGCGCAAGCGCCGGACAAAGACGTATCAGGCTGTTCCGGGGGAGGATGAGGAGGATGTGGAGTTGGGAGAGGGACATGAGACTGGTGTTGTTGAGGCCAGTGGTGCGAGGGACGGTGGTGCTGGTGTTGCTGCCAGTGGAGGGAGGTCGCTTGAGGAGGAAGTGGATAACTGGGATGAGAACCAGGTGGATGATTGGGAGGAGGAAGATGGCGATGGCGATATTGGCGGAGTCAAGAGCAAGGATATGGATACGGGAGATATTGGCGATACCAAGAAGCGGGCTGATTAAGGCTCTCTTGTTGGGAGAAGGTCAAGGGACGTGTGCGATATGACGGATGAGCATTGAGTTACGAATTTCTGGCGTTTGGGGAGGCCCTTCATCCTAGCAGCGTGTTTCGTAATTGATAAAATGACATTCTTTCCCCTCATCATATCATGGAACCCTCTGTTTTGGATCGTGGAAACCAGGACACTATCACTTTGCAGGGGCTGAGACAAAGAATTTGGAGCAATGGCTATGATTTCTAGTGCAGACCAAAGAGTTACCAAAACAGAAACGCCAAACCAGTATCCCCGACCTTATCTTTCTATTGATTCGAAACCCTCAACCTAGTAAACATGCAGGCCCTCACCAGCCAAAGGCCTCGTTATGCCACACCACGTCCCGGCCCCTCATGACCCACGCGCCAACATACTCCCGCAACTCTCGTCCCATCTCCGCCGGCCCGCACACCAGCACCGCGACCCTCTCCTCAGCTCCCTGCCTGAAGAAGTCGTCAACGATCTTGCGCAAGTCCGGACGCTTGCGGCTGCTCTCGCTCGTGAGGCGGTTCCGCCTCCGGTCACGCTGCAAGGAGCTCATCTCCATCTCGCCCTCAGCGTTCGTCTCAGACGGAAGCCCGGCCATGGGACCGGTGGAATCCGAGCTAAGGGCCTCGCCCGTGAGGAAGACGCGGACGTTGGGATCGTCAAGGACGCTCTTGGGGACGGACTTGTCGGCGGCCGTGGCCCATGTTGCGTCGCTGGCGCCGCGGACGGACCAGACGAGTTCGACCTTGGCGCTGGGATTGTCTTGGAGGATGGCGTGGTAGATTGGTACTGTGAAGGTTGCACCTACGCCGCCGGCCACCAACAGGAAGCGGTCGACAGAGGAGCCAGTGAGTTTGTCAAAGTGGAGGGATGCGGCACCGTAGGGGCCCTCGATGCAGAGCGGGACCTTGCCGTCTTCGATGCCGGTGCCCGCGTTTGCGAAACGGCCGAGATGTCGTGTAAGAGGGCCGTCGAGCTGACGAGCTACTAGTGTAAGGCTGCCGTTATCCTCGTCGACGGATGCAACGGTGAAGGGGTTGAAGAGGAACTCGAATAGCATTGCATCAGGAGATGTAGGGCCAGCTCCAGGTCGTGCTGGGGTGGGCACGCTGAGGTAAATGTGGGAGCCCGGACGCGTGTGGAAAGCGTTAATCTTGTGCTGAGGAATCGAAGCCGATATTTTGATCAGGTTTGTGCCAGGGATGGTTTCGATCTTTGAGAGAGCCTGTACAGTCCGGAGGCGACGCACAGTAAGGTCGATGAGGAAGACGATGATAGCCTTGACCATGAACAAGCGAGCTGACTTGGCGTGGAAGAACACCAGGACTGGGATAGCAAATGCACCGATGAGATGAGTGATGAAGAAGACTCGGTACGAATACCTGCGGACGGTGGCAGCCGCTGTTGAAGTCATCATGTTCATGGTTGCAAATGCAACGACACCGACGAAGACGACGGGGGCAAAGAGGCGCTTCTGAACGATACCCTTGGCTACGAAGAAGTTCAGGTAGAAGACGGCGTGGAGGACGAGAAGCGATAGCGTCACGCGGGAGAGAACGCGGTGCCATTTGTTGAGTTCCTCGTGGGATGTGCGGAAGGCCTTGGCGATGGGGCTGAAGCTCTTCAATGCCAGTAGGTACTGGAAGGGGATCTGGGAAACAGCGATGATGCCGAAGCGTTTGGTGAGATGGAGGTAATCTACAACTGGTCAGAAACATGATTCTTCTGGTCACGGGGTTACGCCTGAGGTTTCATCGTGTTTGACAACCAATTGAGGGGATTCACAACTCACCATCGCCCGTCTCCAGCACACTCAAAACCAGCAGCCATAACGCCCAAGCCAGACCAAAGACCCATTGATCCTTCTGGCCCCAATGCTGCCCCATGAAGTAGACATCGTCGGCGAGCCACCACTTCCACTTCTTGATCGTGGCGTCCCAGCTGTGGCCCCAGGTCTGTCTCCTCGTCTTCAGCTCAGGAGAGCCTGGTACAGCGGCGTAGGAACCCCCCGACTGCCACCGTTGACTGAGATATGCCCCAAGCCTAAACAGCAAAGCAACGATGATTGGCGTCAGTGCTGAATATTGAGCATAGCTGCCATAGCGATCTAGGGTCTGTCTCCGGATCTGGACCTCTTCCTTGGAGAGATCGACGAAGCGGTAGGGCCAGCTCATGGCGGTCGGTCTTTCACAGGTCTCGCGGACGATGGCGAAGTAGGGATACAGAGAAGGGAAGCTCAATGGAGCTCAATGCCACATGAGAAGTACGAAAGACAAGACAAGATGAAAAAGGTTGTGCTAATCCGCAAGCTCGGACCGAGCGGGTAATTACACAAAAGAGGATGAGATGGAGTTGCAGTGGGAATTGGCGAAGGTTCCCGTCACTTGTCACGTATCGAGAAACGCGCCTGGGCAACCAAGTACACACAGCAGAACGAACACCTTACAGCTGGCATCTTCGTCCAAAGTCTCACCTCGTAGTCAAGGCGGTTTTAGGTTGGCTTAGGCCCGTTTTCCAATAGGTGTATCGACCAGCTGCGATGGATTGCTTGGTAAGCCACGTCTTGATTGGCCAGAAAGAGGAAGCTAAGGAGCTGACCCCTGAGCTTTTCCCCCAAATGCTCCCGTCTCTGGTGGAGGCAAGCAGGCGCCGGTGACATTTCAGCGAGCATCCCGGCTGTTTGTGGACGGGCGGGAAGGACCCTGCCGAAAGACCCTTCCATTCCACTGGCTTGGACGTCGTAGCTCCTTCATTTTGATATCCAAAGGAGGTACATATTGGAACCGTTACCGACCGCTGTTCAAACCCGTTCCTTGCTTCCTCTTCTGTATGCCGCCTTGTGGAATTGTTACATCCTCAATGGACAGGCGAAAGAACCTTGGTATTCGAGCCGCAATGGTCAACTCCAGGCTTCCTCCAGTCATTCCACTCGGCGACAGCAAGGCTGGTGGCTGTGCCATGAATTTCGGTATCACATCACACAGCCCGCAGATATCATACGACAGGGAACCCTCTGGATAGGATCTTCAGTGGGACAGACTCCAAAACTACGCCTGCCTGCAGCAGCAGATCTGATTCACATAGCTGGTTGGCTGATTCAAGGTATCAAGAGGCCCGGCCATGCAGCCTGCATCAGCGCTTAAGGCGGGGTCTACAGCTCCTATTCGGAGCCTGCTCTTCAACGCAAAGCCACTTGAACAATCCTCGATTCCTCTGGTCGATTCTTATAATACGGCTCATAATTCATGTCATCTTTGATAAGGTGCTTTTCTCCAATTACAATGCCATCAATCAGTATGGACCGAACGTGCTGTGATTCTTGCTCCCAGCCAGAAGTGCTGTACTGGAAGAAAGGTCAGATTGGAGAGAATCCTTTTGCGCCAAGGGCCATACTGACAGGAAATAGGTGATCAAAGATGGAGAACGTCAACCAAGAACAGCGAGAAGGAACCAGCATCATTTACAGCAGACGAGGAAGATTTCGATGTTTGCATCGTGTAGGCTTATCAGAGCTTCGGCAACGGCTCGATGCTGACAAGTCAATAGCAAGGCTCATGCGCAGAAAATACGCGAATGCCCAGCATGCCGAGAGAAATTTGGCAAGGCCTTCCTGATCCCAGATCTTTGGTGGAAACGGTATTGCAGAGATTCAAACGGCTACTTTGGTTACGGGACCAAAATTGACGAGGGCGGAAATTCTACAGGACTTAGTGAGTCGTAACGACTGGGGCTAGAAACCGCGACTGACAGCAGAATAGCTACATGGGCGCGCTTTCCAGTGAAGCTCACGAATGAGGGACATCCAGGATATGAATGGTCAAAGATCAATGTGTTCACGCACTGGGTGGCAGAGACTCATCAAACAATCCTCATTGTTTTCGACGCCGTTCAACCAGGGGCAAACTGCATGAAGAGGGTACCGGCAGATGAATTCGACCCCATTTACGCCGTGCCGAATGCCGAGTACTTCATCGATCCCTACTGGATATACATTGGAATCTTGGAGAAGGTCGTGACTCTGCAAGATGCCGCTGTATGGGCTGTTCGTGATACGGTCAGGACCACGGAGAAGGAAAGGAACAACATCCCCATGCAAGACTCGGTCACGCCGAAACCTACACCGGACTATCGTCATTTGCACGAAACCGCACGACATGCTATACATGTTTCGGAGACGCTGGATCTAGCCGTCAAGGCTGCGAGGAAGATTTTACTGCAACACGAGACATACAAGGCTGGCCCTGACGATCAGTCCAGGCCTACCGCCGCATGGAAACGAGCTTGGAATCATACGCATCAGCGTCTACAATTCTATGAAGAGATGATCACCAGCCTTCAAGAGCGCTCGGCTTCCAACAAAGCTCGACATTTCAACGAAATATCGCTCGCCTACAACATGGTTGCTCAATTTGACTCTGGCATTTCTGTAGATATTGGTCGCGCGACGCAGAGGGACAGCGAGGCCATGAAAACTGTGGCTTTTCTCACGCTGCTCTTCCTGCCAGCAACTTTCGTTTCCGCCGTCTTCAGCACTTCATTTTTTGATTACGACTCGGGAGCAGACTCGTGGAATGTCTCGGGTAAGTTCTGGGTATACTGGGTTGTGGCAATTCCAATTACCGTCGTAACGGCTCTGTTGTGGTACTACCGACATCATCTGAACCCTTCAGGTGGTTGCGAGTTACTTCGACGGGCGGGCTCCCAAAGAGTAGTCTCATGCAAAGAGATTGAGGTTGGGGAGGGTAAAGCTGTCGCGAGACTGTGGCATCAGGTACCAACGAAGTCTTGGGCATGATGGGATAGGGCGCTGTGCCGCACTCATGGTCAGGCAGACTCAAGAACTTGGCACTGCGGATATTGAATGTGCCAGGTAGTCAGGAATCGTCAGCATCGTCCGGGATTGTTTATCTTTTATCATAGTTGTTAATCCGATTGGCCAGTTTTTTGCCATCTAGAGGGGACATTGTGGTCGGAATGCTACTGGACGCTGCAAGGAGCTGAAAACTGCGGCGGCAACCGGGGCTGTGTTGACGCAGCCTGATTGACCTCGACTCGGCATCCTGGATTGGCAGGCAAGACCCGTCTGCCTTGAGTTGCCTTTCCCATAGCCTTCTCAACCCTCCTCTAGTTTCTCGGACTTGGCTTGAACTTGCCTTGCGACAAACCTCACCGTCATATTGGCCCCATCGCCGTCGTCATGCCAGGTAGTCGCAAACTTGCCCATTACACTCATTTCTGTTGCGACTGACAATGACTAGGAAGACGACATCAGAAATTAGTCGAAATCCCCTGAATCCTGCATAGAGCCTGATCAAAATGTCCAGCGATCACGCTTATCATCAACGAAATAGTACCGGTCGGCCGCCCGCGGTCGCTCATGAATATGCCCAAGAAAAACGGGCATGGAGCGTCAGTAGTGAAGAAGAGATTCATTATGGGCTTGCAAAGCGGGCCAGGACAGCGGGCTCGCTTTATACGCCTAACAACGCGGGTCCGTTCTTGGTCAAGCTATCGCATGAGGCATACACTGTGGGCTGGGTTTGTGCTCTTCATCTCGAGATGGCTGCAGCACAGGCCATGCTTGACTACAGACATCAGCCCCTCGACATGAACCCGAACGATAGCAACGTGTACACGTTTGGCGGGATCGGGCCGCACAATATTGTCATTGCATGCTTGCCGTCGGGGCAGTACGGGACAAACAGTGCGGCGGTGGTGGCGAACAACATGCGTTGGAGCTTTCCCTCCTTTCACATCGGTTTGATGGTTGGTATAGGCGGCGGTGTTCCTGGCAAGGTTGACATACGGCTGGGCGATGTTGTGGTCAGCAATCCGACGGCAGATTCCCCGGGTGTCGTACAGTATGACTTTGGAAAAGCTGTGAATGATGGTCGGTTCGAACGCATCGGAAGTTTGAACAAACCTTCATTGTCAAGTCTTGCGGCTGTTTCCAAGCTAAGAGCTGACCATGAAGCTCGGCCGAGTGAAATTTCGAGGATCTTGAGCGACATGGCAAGGAGAAACGACTACATGGTCGAGTATACGCGTCAATTCGTTGACGAAGACCGACTCTTTGAGGCATCTTACAAACACTCTGGGGAAACCTGTGAAAACTGCGATAGGTCCAAGCTAGTACCACGTAGTCTCCGGCCGACAAATAATCCTAGCATACATTATGGGATCATAGCATCTGGCAATCAGCTCATGAAAAATGCGGGAACGAGAGACCGTCTAGCAAAAGATCTCGGGTTGATATGCTTCGAGATGGAAGCCGCAGGCCTGATGGACAACTTCCCATGCCTCGTCATTCGTGGCATCTGTGACTACTCAGATTCCCACAAGGCAAAGCGATGGCAGAAATATGCGGCAGCCACTGCGGCAGCATACGCAAGGGAGCTTCTTCTCGTTATGCCGCCCCAAGGACACTCCGCTGTACAAACACAGCTTGAAGTACAGAGCACTGGTTAGTCGATGACGCCCTCCCCCTAGCTGATATGTGCTTATGGTTTCCTACAGCAACACCATCGGCAAATCGCAAGTGGCTTCTAGACTCCCTCAAGTTTGATCAAATTGATAAGCGGCATGCCAACATCAAGGCCAATCATGCCAAAACTTGCGAATGGCTGCTCGAGCATCCTGCCTATACCACATGGATAGATCGTAAGAAGTATTCCCAGCATCACGGCTTTCTCTGGATCAGGGGAAAGCCAGGGGCAGGAAAGTCAACAATTATGAAATTCGCCTTCACGAGAGCGCGAAGGAGAGCCGCATCGATAGGACCTTCCATTTCATTCTTTTTCAACGCACGAGGTGAAGGGCTCGAAAAGTCGACGCTGGGAATGTACCGGTCACTCTTACATCAGCTTTTGGAGAAAATCCCTGATCTACAATTTTTGCTCGACACCGACGACGACCAACAAGAAACCGCAGTGTGGGACTTAGAAAAGACTAAGACTCTCTTCCGCAGCGCCGTCCGGGAACTCGGAAAACGACAACTTACTTGTTTCATTGACGCCCTTGACGAGTGTGCCGAGAGTGAGATTCGAGAGATGGTCGAGGTCTTTGAAGACCTAGGACAATATGCGGTTCAGAACGATATCCGGTTCTACGTTTGCTTCTCTAGTCGGCATTACCCACATATCGATATCCAATACGGCCAAAAGCTCACCCTGGAGGACCAGACTGGTCACGAGAAAGATCTCGCAGAGTATGTTCGTAGTAGTCTCAAGGCCGGCACTGGACCCAAGAGTGACGAGATCATCGCTGAAATCTTACAAAAGGCTTCTGGCGTCTTCATGTGGGTCGTGCTTGTGGTCGACATCCTCAACAGGGAATACCTTAGAGGCCGCTTGTTCGCAGTCAAAAGTCGCTTGAAGGAAATCCCATCCAAATTGAGCGAGCTCTTCCAGAACATATTGACAAGAGACCAAGAGAACCTTGACGATTTGCTTTTATGCATCCAGTGGGTTCTCTACAGTTCACGACCTCTAAAACGCGAGGAATACTATTTCGCCTTGGCCTCCGGCTTGGAGCCTGATACCCTGGGAGAATGGGATCCTGATGAGATCCCATGTGAATTCATGGATCGTCTGATTGTGAGTTCATCTAAGGGACTGGCCGAGACAACGAGATCCGACGACAAGACGGTTCAATTCATTCACGAATCAGTACGAGACTATCTCCTCAAAGACAATGGATTGCGTACTCTGTGGCCGGACATGGCCGCCGACTTCGAGGCCCAGAGCCACAATCGATTGAGGGACTGCTGTCATGAATACTCGAGTCAGGTCAACATATCTGGATACTTGCAAGACGATGATCATCTGTTGCAATCATCCAAGAGGGCAGTTATTGATCTCAAGGCCGTAATCGAACGTGGCTTTCCATTTCTAGAGTATGCAACCAGTCAAGTACTCTACCATGCCAATGCCGCGGCCCGGACCGACCTACAGACCGACCTACAGACCGAGTTTCTCCAAAGCTTTCCTTTGAAACAGTGGACCCAGAGAAGCAATATCTTTGAAAAGCATATGACCAGAAGGCAGAAGCACGATACTACGAACCTCTTATACATTGTTGCGGAGAGGGGGTTATCGGAGCTGGTTAAGACAACACTCCGCCACAACCCGGATGCTGAAATACGTGGAGGCCGTTATGGCTACCCACTTCTTGCAGCTCTGAAAGGTGGTCACGAAGACGTAGCAAAACTGTTGCTAGAATGCATTGAAAGCTCTACACAAAAGGCTGGGTCTTCGTCATACAGCACCCCGGAATCCGAGAACAGCAGCTATGTGCCCCCCAGCATCAACTACTCGGACAAGCAAGGGCGTACGCCCCTTTACTTTGCTGCAGAAAGGGGGCAAGTCGACATCGCCAAAACGCTATTCGGTTTGGGTGCGCAACCTGACCTTATACCGAAAAACATCTCCTACAGCCCATTGGTTCGCGCTGTCGAAAAGGGACAAGGAGTACTCGCGGAGCTTATTCTTGAACGGCGGTCCGCATGGCAAAGCAGGGCCACTACCAACGCGAATCTACAATCGTCCTCATCGATGGACAAGCATGAAGATGACCAATTAGCCCTCGTCAAGACGGCTGAAAATGGAAACATAGACATGGCGAAAATTTTGCTTAGGAATGGCGTCAGCGTCGACGCCGGGTCTGAGCTATACCACGCGCCTCTAGCTGCAGCAGTCCAAAGAGGCCAAAAACCTTTCATCGAGTTCCTTCTTGATGAAGGAGCAGATATCAATAGAGGAGATCTCTTGGGAGGAAAGAAGCCAATTCAAGTCGCAGCTCGAAAATCAACCCCAGAGTTCATTCATTTGTTAGCTCAGAGAGGTTGTGACCTGGAAGGCCGAGACGCATGTGGGAGCACACCTCTTCACATCGCTTGCAAGGATTCAAAAAAAAGTTCAGTAATGGCTCTTCTTGAAGCAGGTGCAAATCCCTATGCACAGGATGTTGATGGGAATACCCCACTGTTAACAGCCGTACAATATAACGAACCTGTCGTTAAGGATTTGCTATTACACTACAGCAAGCTTGAACGCAATGGCAAAATCACATCCTCTCACGAAGAGTCGCAAGAAGCATTCGATAGTGGACTTCCGAATTTCAGGCTCATGGTAAACAAAATCGGACAGACCCCTCTATTCCGACCCTCTCCTCACCATGATACACATGTTCTGAGTGACTTGTTGGATGCAGGTCTGGACCCTTCTCATCAGGACAATGAGGGCCAGAATTTCCTTCATCGGGCATGTGAGTGGTTCAGTGTGAGCCCCAAATATCTTGAAGGCGTTAAGAAGGCCATTGAGAAGGGTCTTGAAATTGACGGAAGGGACTACAAGGGACGAACCCCCCTAATGAATGCTGCTGCGTATGATAACTATAAGTTCGCTGAATTTCTGCTTCAACATAGGGCCAACCCCAACGCTAGGGACAACAAAGAACGAACGCCACTATCTGAGGTTATTTCTTGTGAAATTAGGGCCTGGAAAAAAGACAGGGATTTAGCTACACTTCGGAGCCTTCTTGAAGGAGGTGCCGATGCCACAGAACCAGGCCCAAACGGCGAAAAGTTGCTGGATATGGCTCATCGGGTAGGGAACCATGAGATGGCAGACATTCTGAGAGGAAATATAGAGGCAAGAGGTGTCACTTAATAGAGGGGTTCGGGTTTGTGTCTTCTCCCCCGGGACAATGGAGTTTTCTCTAGGTATGGAGGGTATATTTCTTGGATCTTTTTGGTCGGGCACTTGCAGTATTCCATTCGTTGTCAAGGCAGGCGTTGGACAGAAATCTCATATTTACCAGATTCTGCTCAATCTCCCTGTGATCAGTCTTTAATCGAAGTCCTGAAGCTTACACAATGTCGCAAGGCCGACGTCTTCGAACTCCCCGGAGGATGGCCGCCGGCTTCGGCCGGCCAAATTTACCCCGCCGCCACCGTCCCGCGGCGAAGTCCTCCGTTGACCCCGCCAAAGTGGGCCAGGCGCTTTCTATCGGCAGACTCAAGCCTATGATACCTTATGCTCGCATCCTCCTCTATTCCTATCTGTGATCCGCGAGTCTGTGAAATCAAGAATAGCTTCAGGGGGAAAGCATTCCGTAAAGTAGAGAACCGACTTGAGTAATGCAAAATACGAACTACACCAACGAATACAAGGCGAAACTTGCTTTCCGACGACTACCTACCTACATACCCTAACCCGGTAGTGCATGTTGCAAGCAGCGGTTCGAATACAAACAATACCCACGTAATAGGCACCGAACGTTCATTAGCCTCTCGGCAAATTTCAAAATCCCAAAAAACTCAAAAAGAGCCTCATCCACCGCCCGGCCAGATAATCCGCGCAAAATCCTTCGTCCGTCGTCCACGCCCTGTCGAGAGTCGTCACGCCCTTTCTGCTATCAGACCCCATCCCGCCGGTGACGTGGGACCCACATTGCCCATCTCCGACCCCGCGCCGGTAGTAATCTCACGGGTGGATTTATCATCCTCACAGAGTCGCGTCTACTTCAGTCTGTCTTATATACTGATTCTGCTTTGTCAATTCCTCACCCTTGGATCATTCTTCTCTCGTCATTATCCACATCCGCCTCGTCCAAAAATCCCATCGAATCCTACATCCCTTATCTGGGTAATCCCATCAACCAAACCACTCATATCACCACCCATCTACACACCTCCTCACCAAACCAACCGCCAAAATGTCCGACCAGATCGAAAAAGTCCTCACAACAACCGCCCCTGCCCCCCTCCCCCAATTCTCCCAAGCCGTAAAATACAACGGCATGGTCTACTGCTCCGGCAACATCGGCATCCTCCCCGACAAGCCAGGCATGGTCCAAGCCGAAGGCACAGTCAAAGACCGCACCCGACAGGCCCTCAAGAACCTGTCCGCCGTTCTCGAGGCCTCAGGAAGCGCCCTGCAAAACGTCGTCAAAGTCAACGTCTACATTACAAAGATGGCAGACTTCGCCACCATGAATGAGGCGTATGATGAGTTTTTTACGTTTGATCCCAAGCCTGTAAGTAATTTTCCCCTAATCAAAGCCATTGACTTTGCCTGTCGTTCTAGCGGGTCATGACGACCAAAAATGGGAAAATGTGTGCTAATACTATGGAATCAAAAGGCCCGCACGTGTGTTGCAGTATACCAGCTGCCGCTGGGCACCGATGTTGAGATTGAGTGCACAGCTTTCCTGAACAAGCCGACTCAGAAGCTGTAATTTCATTACATATCTGACTTGGAGACTGGCTTAAACTTGCATTGATGAAACGAATGCTATTTTGAACTTCTGTGTTTATGTAATTGGCCTTGCAGTCATGCCTTGGCTACAGTACTTCGACCTCTCGAGGCATGGCAACCACGAATCTATAAGAAAAGCACGATTTTCCCGCCCACTTGAGCAGCCTCAAGGGACTGCATGCCCGTAACGCCGGGTAACAAATAAAGTAGCTCCTCCCGCATCATATCTTCATCAAGACCCAGTGAATTGACCTCTCACTATCGCACACGTTACTGCCGATATCTGGCCAGTTGTGCCATAATATTCTGGACTTGAACTGCAGAATCGCCGGCGCCAGTTGCAGGGGGGTGGCCGTTCGGGCCATTTGAAGGTGGCGCGCCATTGGGGGCAAAGGCCTGTCCGCCATACGAGGCAGGCTGCGTTGGTGCCGAAGGCGGCGCTTGCTGAAGACCCCCCATGAGGGCTTGTAGCTGAGCGTTTGCAGCTCCGGCAGCATTGTTGACAGCCGCCGGACCACCTTGAGGGTTCATGCTAACCAACAGCCGCTGCAAAGTCGCATTATCGATGCCATTCATCATGCTGGCGAGGTCGGCTGGCACTCCAACCGGGGGTTGGGGTTGTTGGACTGGAGGCCCACGTGGCGACCCCTGGCCTCCGTGATAAGCAGGTGCATGAAGAAGTACGGGCTGCCCTCCATAAGGCTGTCCGTATCCCGGGTACTGAGGCTGAGGAGGCGGGGCATTCTGATAAGGTGCCGCCGGTACAGCTTGTGACTTGGCCCGGAGGACGAGCTCTGCCGCGATCGGTGGGTCGATGTCTCGGTAGTCGTCATATCGGGCACTGACGCCTCCGGAGCGGTCAAAGACTCGGAGCGGGATCTTACCCATGTTTTGTGCCTGTATGTCGAGATCGACAATGGCGTGTACGCCTTCGATGACTTGGCGTTGAACAATAGCCTCACGAGGGAAGCTTGGGTGGAGGAACATGACGTCGACCTTCAGGCCACGATCGGTAAAACCGCGTTGAACCCAGGTGATGAAGTCGCGGCTAAGATCCTGGAGGAGCAAGAACTGAACATCAGGAACCTGGTTGCCATAGCGGCGAGGAATATCCAGACGGTCGTCAGCTGCAGAAGGACGACCATAGGCTGCAGGCGGGCTGGGACTGCGCCGACGATATCCATCGGTATGGCTGTGGCCGTATCCCTGCGGGGACCGCGAGCGACCACGGGAGCGATCATGAGAGTCATGCTGGTAACGATCCCGACCGTGACTATCCTCACGACCATGGCCACGTCGGGGAGGGCTGTTACGTCCCGGCCTGTAATCATCGCGGTTACGACGGTTGTCGTGGTGCGAGTTGGCTCCGTCATGGCGATCCTGACGATCTTGGCGTCCTGATTGTCGACCTCCACGGCCACCACGGTCTGGCGATCGGTTTCTCTCGTTGCCGTCCTTCTTCTTCTGGGCGCGTGAGATTTCCAGATCTAGTAAAAGTGAGTAAGCTTTTCTCATCGCATGTTGTTGAAGGCTACTTACGAATCTTGCGACCCTTAATCTCGCTGCCCTGCAGATTGTCCATGGCAGCTTGAGCGTCTTCTAAGTTGTGGTACTGGACGAAGCCATAGGCGGACTTGAGTGAGATCTGGGCGAGACGGCCGTATCTGTGGAAGATATCAAAGACATCCCGCTTGGAAACGCGTTCGCTCGACAGGTTGCCTGAAAAGAAGTCAATGGCGCCGTCGGGTCTGCCTGATGAGAGAGAGCGCGAACCAATGAAGATGCGTGAGCCATCGGGGAATTTATCCCATTTGGCATCAGCCATGTAACGGCGCTCGTCGTTTACGAAGGTGTCCCAAAGGTTCTGGCGGTCAGCAGTATCGTCCGTCTGGCCGGCGGGGTAGCCCCCAGGAGTGGGATAGGGAGGCGCGTTCATTGAAGTAATGGGCATGGCCGCATTCAAACCGTTGGCGGGTGGAGGAGGGAGGCTGCCATAGACGTCGGATGCGGTACCCGGGGCACCTGGAGCACCCGCAGCTACGTAGGTAGAGGGTTGACCTGGCGTGGGCGGAGCGATCATGTTTGGAGAGACATGAGGAGCAGCGTTCTGAGGAGGGAAGCCTCGATAGTCTTCAGATGGGTATGTGGGAGCCGCCTGTTGAGGCAGCGGAGGTCTGGGAGGAAGAGTGGCAGACGCGGACGAAGTCAAGTTGGACGATGGCTGAGCATCATGGTTCTGAGCAGAGCCTGTGGAAGATTGGTCGTTGCTGGACTCGCTTGCCTGGCCTGTCATCTCAGCAACGAGGCGAGAGATATCAACGGCGGGGTCATCCTCGGGGGCATTGTCATTGCGTGCGTTGAAGGAGGCGCCGTTGGCAGTCGAATAAGGCGCGCTTGAGACAGCTCCTGGGTGGGCGGCAGCTGGTTGGGAAGACGCGGATTTTGTAGAGTGTTCCGCGGCAGCAGCAGCAGTAGCGGCAGTTTTGGCCGACGAGGAATCAGCGGCAGCGACGGTGGAGGGGGCCACTTGCGAAGGGCTTGTCAAAGAATCAGGAGCGGCGGAATTGTGAATGGATTCTGGTGCCTTTGATACATCATCCTCTTCCGCGCCATCTTGATCCGCATCCCGGGGGGGAGAGTCGAAGATCTTGAGATAATCATCCTCGCCGGCATCTGGCTCCATCTGTTGTTCCTGAACCTTGTCCGTGTGTGTCTCCTCTTCCTCTCCGTAGGCATCGTCCAGACTGTCGACGTCGTCTTCGGCGTCTGCGTTGTCTGCGGCAGCTTGCGCATACGGTTCGGTCGAAATTGGTGTATGTGCAGGTGCGTCTAGGTCGCCATGAGCGACTCCATTAGTGTGGGCGGACATTGCATCAAGGATATCAGCAGTATCCTGAAGAGCAGGTACAACAGCTGGGGCGGCGGAGTGGAGGGGAGATGGGCAGTAAGGCGAGAGGTCGGCAGCAGTAGCCTGGAACTCGGGGGTGGCCTCCGGTTCGGGCATTCAAGCTGTTGGAGTGTTGGCGCACTGGTTGGCGGTGGTAAAAGTAATAGTAGTATTGGTGTTGATAGTGACCTCAAGGTGCGAGTAGGCGATGCGACGACAGCTGTGGAAGCTTGCTGATGTCGACAATGCCAAGGCTTGCGCGAAACAGGCAGAAGACGCTTTTGTGAGGTTGACGAGACAAGCTTGTGAGCGAATGGGTTAAAGAATGGGCTTTATGTCAATGGAGCAGCGATAAACGAGGCAACCGGACGCCTTGTTTCCAGCAAATTCAGTCGGACCGCGGCAGTGCCGTCATGTACTTATGGGCAAGCGCGAGGCAAGGCAAGCACGTCTGGGTTGGTTGGTTGGTTTGGGGACTCAAACGTGAGAGGAAAGAACCCAGAGTGGCAGGAAGGCGGGGTGGGAATGGAAGGAAGGAAGCAGGCGCAAAAGAAAGAGGCTGCAGGCACGGGGGAATCTCCGATGGGAGTGGGCGCCGGGCGGTATGAGTAGAAATGGGTAAGTGGGTGCGGCGGGAGCGTAAGGTAAAAAGCCTTTGAAGGTTGTGACAGCAGGTGGAAAGAGTCGACTCGGAGAAATCAGAAATCTCTGCGACGGGAGCTTAATTTCCTCTGACCTGATGCAGCGGTGGGCGGAAGGGGTGTCGATTCAGCAGTAGGAGAAAGGCGAGGTGAAAGAGGATGCAGGAGAAACGTTGAACCTTGAGGCCATGAGCACCGAAATGTGGTTGGTGGCTACTGCGGCGGTGTCGCGTGAAAGTGTGTGTGCGGTGGAAGGGAAAAAAGGTTAAAAAGCTCAGGTACGAACGACATGGTGGAGCCTGGACGGTCCCGTGGGAGAAAAGTCGAAAAAATCGCTGTGAGGAGCGGGAGGGAAAGAAGGTGCCATCCACCCGCTGCCAAAGCTCTGCTCTCCGCAAGGCTGGCCGATCGCGCTGGACGGGAAAGAGGCCTGACCAATGTCACCGTGGGAAAAACGGTTGGAAGCCCACAGCCCGACGCTAGCTTCATCTGGCAGCTTGGTCGCGCTTATCCTGATTTGGATACCGTGTTGTCTCCACAGTGTTCTTCTTCTAAACACCGTACATCATCCGTCACGAAACCTTAGGCTCAGGTCCACACACTCTCTCTTAGTCTGTCTATGATCAAGGATGATGACTGCTATCCAAGCCAGATCAGACAGTTCTGCAAATAATTTTCTGTTTTCTCCAGTCGAGATTCAATCTGCTCTCACATGGTTTACCTATTCAGATGGACATTCGTCTGAAACTTCACTGCTATCAGCTTGATATCTTCCTTTCCTAGCCGAAAGCTAGTCTCCCGTCACAATGAAATTCGTGACAAGTCTGTTTCGATCTGTCCGTCCAACATCAGCAAGTCATTTCATCCAACCCCTGCAGCCTGTCCGCTGGGCTCGCTTCCAAGCTTTCGAGGCAGACTTTGATCCTGAAGAGTTGGAAAAGGCACGATCATGGCACAAATCTTTCAACGGCAGCCAACTTCCCAAGGGGCAAACAACTTATGCTCGCTCCAGCGGTCCCGGCGGCCAGCACGTTAACAAGTAGGCACTCCGCATATCTACTGCAGATCTTTTGCTAATTTTACGATAGAACTGAGAGCAAAGCAGTCACTGTTTGGCCAATCAAAGACATATTACCAGTCTTGCCAAAATTGTTACACCAAAGCATCAGAGGATCAAAATACTACACAGCCAGGTCGGACTCTCTAACATTCCAAGCCCAAACGCATCGCCAGAGGGACGCCAACTCGGAAGAAAACCAGCAAAAGCTTATCGACGAGATCATAAAGATATACCAAGAAACAGTCCCTGGCGAAACAAGTCCCGACAAGAAGAAGAAACATGCTGAGATGTGAGTCGTCTTTCCAGCTGCCAATGCACCCATTGGGACTAACAAGGCGCGTAGAGCCAAATCTTTCAATGAGGGGCGACTGAGACAGAAGAAACAAATGAGCTCCAAGAAGCAAAATCGGCGTTCTTTTGACTGAGCAGGCCAGGAATGGCTCAATGCCTGGATGTGATTCATATCTGGTTTTCGGACCGGCGAAAAGGGGGTGAGTTTTGGTCGCCCAGCAGATGGGGGTTGAGTCGTGGCACCAAGCTTGCCGTTGCTGCTTGCCCAGCCGCTTTCTCTGCCCAGATAACAAAGTTGGCGGAACCGAGACATGCAAACACCAGACCGCCAGCCGGTCGACGTACATGTAGAGGAGACATTGGTGGGGTAAGGTCCAGAGCCGGCCAAGCACCAAAGTACGGCCGGCTGGCAAACAAGAGGGGTTTAGGCCTGGACCCTGAACTTTGACTCAAAAAACGGCATCTCCAGAGCATGTGCCGAGGATTGGATTCACCTTTCAACCTTGGTTCGGCTTCTTCGTTAAGAGCCTCCACATTGACGATCTGGTAGAGAGTAGAGAAATTCTTCAAGGAGACTTCATACCTCAAGGTTACACAGCACGCAGCATTAGGCTTGGGGGAAATTGTCGATGTTTATGCGGGCAGAATCAGGCTGGACGGATAGTGGGTGCTTAATATTAAGACAGCAGCGAGCTCTGCGCCGTCTATGTTGGATATGGGTAGATGTACGGATATGTGTACGTTTTCATACAAAAAATGTAATGTAGATACTCAGAGAGTCAATATTTGACTTGTACAGGAACACCTCAGATCAATCCGTGGTGGTGTCTGGGCCTGCCAGAACTCTGAGCCGTTCGCAATCCAGCCTTAGACAATCTGGAGTCTCTCCATCTGCTTACCTCATTGCACGATGAAGGCTGGAAACCCTACGGATACCTGGCCAAGAAAAGGTGCTGGAGAGCTGACGGACCGGTTGGGGGCGGTTTTGAATAATGAGGTGGAACCTGGAGCGCTCTCTCTCATCGAGCAGTTGCCAGCTGGGGTGGGGACCCCAGTTCCCATGGCTGGGCCCGGGCCGCCTCGTCAGGCCGTCAGCATCCGTCCAGCACCCCATCCTGAATGGGTCGCATCATAACGATAAATTGTCGTGGAAAGAAATACACGTATGAAGGGGGACGAGGGGGAGATTCCTCGACAGAGCGGGGAGCGATTCTCAAACGATCAGTGGTCAGGAATAGAGCCGAAGCTCCTGTGCTGGGTATATTGTCAGTGAGCTGTCTCCGAGTTGCGGGACCTCCCTCCATGCTCAAGTAAGAGTGAGAGTCCCTGATGTCTCGAGCTGAACGACCTGGCGCATGTGGTGCATGTGGTGCAAAGATGCTAAGGTGCCCCTAGTGTCCGTATCTTTTGGTGTAGCGGCGTATGGTCCACTTGTTCGTCTCTTTCCCATCCAGTCTATCTCCGCAACCTCGAATCCTTCGTTTTCCTTAGGTACTCCTTCTTTTTCACTCCTACTTCCTCCCGTCGTCGTCTTTGGATACCGAATTCCTCCAACACCGTCTCTTCTGTCTATCGACCATCGCGTGCTCGACGACCGTCAATTTGATCTACGACACAGCGTCATAGTGACAGCACATCACCCCCTTCATCTATCTGCTGTGTGCCGATTTGATCCTTGCATCCAATTCACACTGGCCCCGCGAGACCCTCCCAAGGGGCAGTCAACACGACCAGGGACCGTCGATCATCAAATCAGCCCAATAATCCAGCCAAACACCTGCCGTGCCCACTTTGTCAGCTGCGTGCTCCTTTGAGCAATCTTGGCCAAATTATTCCAACTTTCACATCGAGCCTCGATTTTTCTTTTCTTCCACGACTTGTATACCGAGACAAACCTCTTCCAAGACAATCGCGCAGCTTGTCTTGTTCGCCCTACCACTGTCGAACCAACCTGTAATCTCGGCCCTAGCTACGTCGAGTGAGGCTAACCGCCCCCCAAAAACCGCCGACCGATCTTCGCCATCTGCTTACCCCGCCAACCCTTTGATCTCGCGACCGCAACCCCCGACCGACCTTTATCTCCCGAGCCATCGCCTGACCCTCCTCGAACGTTGGGCGACGCTCGTGGCCTCGATTCTTTCGCCCCTCCAACAGCCTTATCACACCGTCTTTTGGCCACAGCAATGGCTTCCAACGGCGCCAACGGCGCATCTCCGTCACCTCAGGTCCAGCCCTGCAGGTACAAAGTTGGCAAGACGCTGGGCGCCGGTTCCTACTCCGTCGTCAAGGAGTGCGTTCACATTGACACTGGTCGCTACTATGCCGCAAAAGTCATCAACAAGCGATTGATGGCTGGCCGAGAGCACATGGTACGTTCTTAATCCGCAGTCTTCTGTATGGGTGACCGACGACGCTGACGTGCAACCCCTCTCACAGGTCCGCAATGAAATCGCAGTCCTAAAAAAGGTCTCCATGGGCCACCAGAACATCCTGACACTCGTCGACTACTTCGAGACGATGAATAATCTCTACCTCGTAACCGACCTGGCTCTCGGCGGCGAGCTTTTCGATCGCATCTGCCGCAAAGGCTCATACTACGAATCCGACGCCGCAGATCTTATCCGGGCGACGCTCTCCGCCGTTGCTTATCTGCACGACCACGGCATCGTCCATCGCGATCTGAAGCCCGAGAACCTCCTTTTCCGCACACCAGAAGACAACGCAGACCTCCTGATTGCCGATTTCGGACTGAGCCGCATTATGGATGAGGAGCAGTTCCATGTGCTGACCACGACGTGCGGTACCCCTGGCTACATGGCCCCCGAGATCTTCAAGAAGATTGGTCACGGCAAGCCTGTAGATGTATGGGCGCTCGGCGTCATCACTTATTTCCTTCTGTGCGGTTATACGCCATTCGACCGCGACAGCGATTTCGAGGAGATGCAAGCCATCTTGAACGCCGACTACAGCTTCACCCCCTTCGACTACTGGCGGGGTGTTTCCGACCACGCCAAGGATTTCATCCGTCGCTGCCTCACCATTGATCCGAATAAGCGTATGACGGCGCACGAAGCCCTGCAACACCCCTTCGTTGCCGGCTACCTCAACAACGGCGAGGGCGAAGGCCAGAACTTGCTGCCCACCGTCAAGAAGAACTTTAATGCTCGTAGGACACTGCATGCTGCAATTGACACAGTTCGGGCCATCAACAAGCTTCGCGAGGGCCAGAGCAACCTGATGGATGGTGCCAAGTCGAGAGAGCCTGGCCGTGGCGCTGCGGCCCTCAAGACCCAGCAAAACGCAAGGAAGGACGATAGCGCCATCAGCCTCGGCAATGGAGGCCACAAGGACTCAGGCTACGGAACGCAACCCGAAGCTGACAGCCAAAATGATGTGGTCATGTCCGACGCAGGTCCAGCACCCAGCAGTGTCCCAGCAAGTTTGCGGCCAGGCAGTGAACAGAACAAGGTCGTGGAGACGAGCAAGGGACTGTGGAGTGGTCCAGCCTTGCGGCGATAGCCTCGTCGTAATGTGGTACCATGTGTGAAGATAACGGTCCCCAACGAGGAGAAGCGTGATGCAGACATGAGCTTCCTTGCAGCAGCACTGGATTCTCTTGGTGGATTTCACGCTCCTTCAGGCCTCAACTGTCTGCGCAAAGAGACTCTGAAAGGTCTGTTTGCCAACATGCGAGGCGGCCGTGCAGCAAAGCGGTCGGATCCTATGTCGGATCGCATCGTGTCTGACAACATATGGCTTCATGAGGAGAGCATGAGCTTGGGGACGACAAAGAATTGGATGACGGGAGAAATGGCAGGAAAACAAGATACCTCGGGTTGATGTCCGCGGACTGGCTCCGTCATTGGACGATACACACACAACGGATGGGTGGCTGATTCGCGGAACCACCCCTTTACTTTTCTTTACGTTTTGATGTGCAGGCGACTTCCTATAGGCATATATCGAGAACAGGACTCCGAACACACGGCCTATTTTAATGGGAACGATATGAAGGAAAGCAGAACCTCTCAAAATGTGATATTCCAGATTAATCCAGTGAGACAGCCACTCGTGTAGGGCAACAAACTGATGAGGAGTTTATCCGTAGGTACATCGGATGATGTCTCGGTCATCTTACAGCTTTGGGTACAAGCACTGCAGGAAACAAGAATGAGTAGCAAGAGGGAACCTCCGAAACAAACGAAGGACATTTCAAGCTTACTTATGATCACCAAGCCACAAGAAAGCCTGACATGAGAGTCGTTTACCCATACGTAAGATAGAGTAGGTCAGTACAGATCGGCGGTAGGGATAGAGTTTGATTAAGATGGGATGTCGCTACTAGTCCTAGGATCTATCCAACACCGTATTCCGACGTCTCCCATTGGCCGGAACCGGGTCTAAGCATCGACGCAGCGTTCCGGCATCTGAGCGACGACGCCCCCCCCCCCCCCCCCCCCCTTCCTTCTGCTATCCATCCTCCCACAGACTCTCCTCCCTCACTCCCGTCACATCTCAGTGGCCACGTTCTTTCTTGCTTATTCCTGCTTGTCCTTTCGCGTGTGTGTATCTTTCCAGAAGGATTCTAGACCCGATACTGGCTACAAACAGCCGAAGATCCACAATATCTTACCCGGTCGGTCGTAATGACGGAGAGAATCAGACGAGCCCATCACAAGTCGAGACTCGGTTGCAGGCGCTGCAAGACGCGGCGAATCAAGGTGAGCTCTTAACGACGCCCGATCATGGTCCATACGAACCACCGTGAGCCACCGTGTCCCACGACCTACGACCCCGTCCCGGGTGCGGGAGGTTTTACGGGAAACATGGTTCTCAGTTTTCTCCCTGCCTACCTACTCCATGCCTACCTCATACACAAGTACAGTACTGACCATACACAAAAAGTGCGATGAGGCCCGTCCCGCCTGTGGAGGTTGCACAAAGGCAAACCTGCGGTGTGATTTTATCGATTTGCAATCCCGCTTCAGCCTGAAACCCACTCTCCCGCCGGCGCCACCACTCATATTATCGTCATCCTCAACATCGGCGTCTACATCGGCGTCGTCGTTGGCGTTGTCGTCGTCCTCGTCCACAGTATTATCAGTCACATCCCTGACGCTGATACGTCCGAGCAGCCCCCCCGTACTAGTGGACACGATGACCGACAGCCTCAAGGCGCGCTTCTTCCGCCACTACCTGGACATGACGGCCGCGTACCCCTCGGCTGACCAACAAAGCTGGTCGAGTTGGATTACGGACCTTGCCGTGACGGATAACACGCTCATGGACGCTGTTCTCGGATTTGCGGCGTTTCACCTCCGACGGTCCTCGGTGATGGATGATAGCGGCGGCAGCAGTAAGGGTGTAAGTAGCAGTCAGGCTGTAGCCGTGTCAGAGGCCTCGCATGCGTATATGGCGAGGGCCATCGAGGCGCACTCGAAACAGATTGTGCGTGAGGGGATTAACGCGCAGAATGCCCCTGTCGTGATGGCGACGTGTACTATTATCATGTTCCACACCAGCGCGAACCAGTCGTTCCTTGATAGCAGCAGCAGTAGCAGCAGCAGTGGTTCGGAGGCGGAAGCAGGAGAGCGGGCGGGGGCGGAGGCGGGGTTCCGGGTCCCGCATCACTGGTTCACGCCCTTTCGGAACGTCAACGCACTGTTGAAGGTCGCTCTGCCCGGGATCCGGAGTAGTAGGATAGGGCACCTATATAAACCGGAGCGGCAGACCTCGGAGCAGCAGAAGGAGACGCTGGGGCCAGGAAGGCCGGGGACGTTTGATTTCCTCGTGGAAGACCTCGACGAAGACAAGATGGAGCCGGAAACGGTGGAAGCGTATCGTATTGCCGTCGATAGTCTCGATAGGATCGAGAGATCAGCTTTGCAGCGGGATCTGTTGCGGTTTCCTGCGCATGTGCCCTCGCGGCTCGTTGAGTTGCTGGAGGCGCAGGATCCGAGGACGCTGGCTATCGTGGGGTACTTTTTCATGCTGTTGAGGAGGGCGACGCATCTTTGGTGGGCGCAGGGGGCGGCTGAGAAGGAGTTTGATGGGGTGATGAGTTTCTTGCCGAGGGAGTGGTGGCCGAAGATGGCGTGGGCTATCAAGGAGTTTGACTGGACTGAGAGTTGATGAGTTAGGATGAGACTCTTGTTCTATACAGCGATTGTATGTTTAGGTTGACAGGGTGGAAGTGGGATGGTTTCTGCTTTCTACATGGCGCTAAGGTGGTTAACCTTTCTACTCGGATCCATACTCGGGATCGTCACAAGGTTGATGCCAATCTTGGCTAGACTCATGTAAGTATAACCTCACGACACCCTTTCAGAGATTATTCTAATCGTCCTCAGAAGCAGAAAGTTGTGGTGAAGGATTTGGATTAACGGGACAGTAAGCGATCTATCATCTCTCATGCGTGGAATCGAGCAACCCTTCCATCTACATAGCTCTGCCGCCTCTGGAGAATCTCAACACCATACAGTAACTGACGATGCCAAGTAGCTTCTCTCACCAGAAACACCAGCAATGAGGGGAATTCCACCTAAGCAGAAGGAGAATCCTCAACCCAGGCAACACCACCAACAATACCCTCGTAAATCCTTCCATTCGCACCAAGCTGAAGATGCGACGGGCCAGGGTTGTACACACCACCAGCACCAACCCTCTTGCGCCAAATCTCCTGGCCAGAAACATAATCATACGCTACAATGTACCACACATACTCCCCGCCCACAGCGAGCTCCCGATCCTGCGTGTACGCGTACAAGATACCGTTAGTCGTCGATAGAGTAACCATGGTCGCGACAATGGGCAGATCCCACACCAGCTCGCAGCTCTCATCGGCATTCACCCGCACGCGCGCGACGCCGGTAGCAACTTGTGTGAGGTTGTTGAAGCTGCCGTTGATATCGTCGTCGCTGACGTCCAGGAAGGAAGGCGAGTTGTAGCAGTTGCCAATGATGGCGCTGTACGTCGTGCCGTCAAAGTGCGTCGTCAGCGACGCCTCGTTGAGACTCGCGCCCGGTTCGAAGAGCGGGACAGAGCAGACGAAGCTCGAGTTCTGGCCCTCGGTCATGGCGGAGGCCTGGCGGTAGACGTTGAGGTTGATTTGCGAGTCGGCGTTGTCCGTCATGGCGATGTACTTTTGTCCGAGCAAGCCCGGCGTCGCGCCGGAGCCGCGGGAGAGACCGCCGGGCTTGATGCCGCTTCCGGCGAGGTACGTCTCGTCCCAGGCCGCGATGACGCCGCCGCCGTTGGCGGTGTCCGCTTGGAAGGCGTAGAAGTGGCCGCTGGCGTCGGCGTGGTCTTCGGGGCCGGCGGGGCCTGTAATGATGTAGATGTTTTTCCCGTTGACGGCCATGCCGTTTTCGACGATTTCGTTGTCCAGAGACGCGCTGAAGATTGTGCCGTCGCGCTGGACGTAGCCTACGGTGGTGGTGTTGGTTCCCTGGAGACCGACGAGCGGTGCAGGGGTGGCGACGAACCAGAGGTTGTCGTCGTCCGTGTAGCCCGCCATGGCGATGATGGAGCCCGATGGGAGACGAGCTGAGACGTCGATCTCGCGGACCTGGGTGAAGGTAGTCGAGGCGCCCGTGCCGAAGCGTTGGATCTCTACGATGAAGCCTTCGAGGGTGGGCATGACGACGTGGTTGTCGACGACTTGCCAGTAAGTCGAGATGGCGGTGCGGCCCGCGGGAGCGGTCCACTGCGTCAACACGTCCATGGTCTCGGGGTCTACCGCCGCGAGGCAGAAGCCGATGGGCGCCTGAGACGAAACGCACTCCATTGCGACGAGGAGGCTCGTGCTGTTCTCCCAGAACATGTAGCCTGTTTGAACGGCGGCCGAGGAGGCGACGGATGAGACGCCGAGGGGCCCCATGTAGTCGTCGCTTCGGGTGTTGCCGCCGTCAATGTGGGCGTGGAGGGCGTCTGGGGAGAAGCGTTCTTTGGGGCGCAGGGGTTGGGATGTGGCTGCTTTGCCGATGAAGTCTGGGGCCGTGACGTTCTGGGAGTCTGCGACGGTGGCGGCTGAGGCCTAGATTTCGGAGGTGAGATGGAGTGTTGCGGTTGTAGAGGGTTAGGGAGGGGGAACTTACGACGAGCTGGGCCATGTAGGCTACCATGGCCGCGGTGAAGATGTTGACTTGCTTCATTCTGAGACTAGCGATGCTCAGAAGTTTCGAGTTTGTGAGTAGAAAAGAGGGTGAGTTGTTATTAGGGGAACAGGACGAGGAGGAAGCTTGAGTGAGTGAATGATGTCCTTGACTGTTGAGAGAAATAAAGCACCTCATCAGCAGAGAGATGTAGTCAACTTATACAAATCGACAACCACATAGAGCCTCATCGCGACTACGAAATGATCTACCCTAAGATGCAGCATTGCCACTCAAGCAAGTACCCAAGTACAGGCCTATTGCGCCGCCTCCCCCTAAGGTCTTTCGGATCCGATTATGCCCACAAGCATCGTATCGTCGCATTACGGGGGGGGCTTATTCACGCCAAGAAACCACGGAGCGAACCAATAAGACAGGGTCAGATACGACAACATGCCTAATGCAGGTATATGCCATCCATTCAACTAGACCATCTACGCGGGTCTCTCCTCATTGTTCCATCGATTGTTCTACGTCGCATGCGGTCCCGATTGGATGATCACGGGCTGTCTCCGTCATTGTGTATAGGAGCTGGAGTCTACATTCATTACCGGTTGTCCCGAGCATTTACCTACCACGATGCGAAAACGAGGTCTCTAGATCAACCTCCCTTTTTTTCTATCGACATAGCCTCATGCGTTGGTGATCGCCGTCAATTGGTTGGGGCATATTCGGGACCTTCCAGCTTGGCACGGCAGAGGCGTTTGGATACGTTTAATGTCTCTGTTACTTCGTCCTCGCACCAAAGCTCATGGTGAGTGTGAGGAGGCCATTGAGACTTTGAAGTACTCTTGACCTGCATTGATTAGATGAATTGGACTAAGCATGATATTTGTTGTCCCTCGTGATGACTCTGCAGGCGGATGCTCCGGCGGTTTGTAGTAGCAGCTCACAGCCATCTCACAGCTTGTCTAGGCTGACTGAACCATAGAGATATGACCTTGTCGAGAAATATAGAGTGTAGGTAAGAGTAAATGCTAAGGCTCGATAGGGGAAGATATTAAGTTCTCCTTTGAAGAGACCCTCGCCATCAATACGATGTAAGTTGGCTCAGTCCAATGCAAGGCAGTTTAATACGATCGGTCACTCTTCACCTTCGGGCGCAGCGATGTTGGCTATGGCGAAGTAACACTATGCCCAGCACACGATTAGTCGAAATATGAATTCAAAAGAACATGAGATTGCTATGATACGCCGTGACAATGAAGCAAGAGGAGGGTCAGACGAAGCTTCCGCTTCAGGTCTTCCATAAATTGAAGAAGCTATCTGTGGAAGGGCCTACGGCGAAGATCACGATCAGATGTTCGGTCAACAAAAAGAAGCATAGTTTTACCAACTACTAGTCGAAAGGCAGGTTCCAAGAAAGAGATGGATTTGTCCTGCCATCGCCAAGTTGACAGTTCATTAATGCGTCTCTCACTGCATACCTCACACCTTCAGCGGCCCCTTTCCGTCTCCAAACAGCACATCATACCACTCCTCATCTCCTTTCTGGCATATTCCATCCCAACCAATGGATGAAAAGTTCCCCGGCTTTTTCGATCCGTCATAAATCCTAACGCTCTTCTTTCCATTCATCTCTTCCTCCGCCGCCCAGTAAACCATCTCGTTTCCGCTGTCACCGCGAGTAAGAGGTCTCGCTAGAGGTATCAACTTCCGGTTCGCATCGAGAGCCCCCATTACGAGATCGCGCAAGTGAGGGTAAAACCACGTCAGACTCCACCAGTTCTCCAAACGCCACTTCTTCAAGCCGAAGATGTATGCGTTGTGATGTATGCCCACAGGCGCTGTACCAAAGAAGAAGTCGGTGTAGAGCGAGACGTTACCCCAGCTATGCCCGGGAAGAGGCCGAGGAACGTCTCGTAACTCCTCTGGGATGCCCTGTACCCTCACATCGCCTGGGACTCCTGCCTTTTCAGACTCTCTCTTGACCGCCTCAACGTCGCCAAGCTCCACAAAGTACCCGTCGTCTTCGGAGGAGCAGGTAGGCGGGATCGTGGCAAATTCATAATCCAGCCCGATTCCAAATTCGAACTTTTCACCTGCCAGCGCCGCGTCTGCAATCTGCCGCACCTTCTTCGGCATGCTCTCAAGATGCTCTTGAGAAACGAACCCATTCCACGTTGAAGATAGGCCCCGGACCCAGTGGCGCCAGACCTCCTGATCCCCAATGACCTCCGCAAAGAGCGCCTGGTCACTCCAGAGCTGCCGTCCGCTCGCGGCGGCCTTGTCGATCTTCTCTTTACTCCTTCGCAAAGCGCCCCGTAGAGAGCCGATGGTGCCCATGATCATTCCGCTATTGACGCATCGGGGCCGAATCTTCTTGTACTTCCTCGCGGAATCAAACATATAAGGTAGCACCTGACCAGTCTTCTCCCCGTAGAAGTCTCGTGGTAGGGGCGATTCAGGCCAGTAGTCGTACCGCGGATCGGACCCTGACTCCCAGTCCGGCTGGCAATCCTTGGCCGTAGTGACGATGATGTTCTGTGTCGGGGGGCTAATCGGGAAACCGCCATTCATGCTACTCTCCTCCCACTGCTTCTGCACCCGGAGATTGGCTTTACGATTCAAGTGATGGAAGCGCTCGATTAAGACCGAAGGGGGGAGTTGAAACCAGATATCATAGGCGTCCACAAGAAGAACAAGGTCATTCTCATTCATATCATCCCCGTCATCCCTTTCGTAAAGCGCATCAATGACCGCCAAAAGCGACTCGAGCTTCGCAATGTGAGACCCGCCAAAGTGCCAGTCGGGTCTGTTGAATTCCCCGTTCCAGTTCAGAAGCGTCGGCATGGGGTAGCCCAGCGCGACGGCTGACAAGACTGTCTTGCAGAGATTGATGTTTGGTCCATCGGCGGGCATGAAGAGTCGCAGTCGGCGAGAGCCTCCTTTGTCAACATGAGTTGGACTCACGAGGTGTTCCAGGTCCGTGCCGGAGATTCTTCTTTCTGTATCGCTTCCGTGGATGAAGTGTCTAAACTCTGCAGGAAACTGTGAAGGTCATATTAGCGGTACCGTAAGAGTATAAGAGACTGGTAGATCTATACAAAATTCGTCAAGACGAAGCCAAAAATGCCCATGAAGATAATCACGGGGAAGGTAAACTTCACAACAGCGGCACAACATTGACCTGACCTTGCGGCCGGGCTTTGGCGGCGGTGTTGAGCTTCGCCATCCCACATGCTGCTTTGCGTCCCAATCTTTGACTTGAACCCCCGATGCCAGGAAAACGGATTTGGTGCTATTTCAGGCATCATCATGTTCGCGAAGGTGGACAATGATGGGCAAGAGAGTTGCCTTGTCGCCTGCGACGCATTCTGGTTTTCAGACGAATACCGAACTCAATGTGTCTGCAAAGCATTAATTTGAGAGATCAGAGCTGACGACGCTGATAAGATGTCAATCGGCCGAGATGGCTGCGTAATTCCGTTGCCGTCGTACAGATCAACGGGGTCCGGCGTGGGGTCTTAGTTCCCTATTAATTACCGGGTTCATCCCACGTGGTGGATTCGATTCGCCCGGACCAGGCCCCGGATAACCGCCGCATCCCGGTCCATACTTGGCTTTTCATCAGATACCTGCACGTGGACAAGTGAGGACGGTGTCTGGCGATAAGACGGGGTAATAAGAGAGACAAGAGAAGTAAAACCGCAAAAAGAATGAGTGTTTCTAGGGTATGGCTCCTCAAATAGATTTATCGGCCCGTACCTAGAGAAAACAAGTGAGTTTGTGGATGATTTCATTATATAGAGCGGCAATGGCAACACCCTGCGCTGAGGCTTTCCTCGTGACCTTCGTCTCCTATCCTCACCGTATTCGTCCACGATACGTCAAGACTACAGCGTGTTAGTACCAACTAGATATAAACTAACATGGAATGCCATCGATATAGTTGTATCAAAGAGATTCGTCATCCAGCCAGGCGAGCGCCGTTGTTATCGCATACAAAACGCGATAAAGTGATGTATTCGCTTTACCAAAACGACATGGCAACACTACTAGATCTCGAGACCCATTTCTCGAAGCTGGCCAACCTGGACGACAGAGTTTTCGGAGAAGTAACTTATTCCCGTAAATACAGTCTTAGGAGCCACGGGGGTATCCAGGATTGGTGTCTAGTTCCGGCTCCACCAGAAAGCTCATCAACAACCGCTCAGCCAACTTTCGGTTTAGTAATGGTTCTGGATCATTGTCTCGCTGCCAGCTGTGTTATGCACTGAATGCGGCCGACATTCAGACCCGAGATCCAGGAGTATACCCGTCCCATAAGAGTCGAAAGCTCTCGGTATGCCCTGCTTTGATTTTCCAATGATCCCGTATCGTTTCTCGAGTCAAATTAGTACAGAATTGCTCATGGTTACTCTAATTTGAATGACGTGCCGCGAACGCGACGCCATAGTCCCCTATCAATTGCCGGATTCATCCCACGTGGTGGACTCGATTCGTCCGGGCCGGGTTCCGGCCAATTGTCCCCGTCACCCATGGTTGGCTCTCTAACGGCACTAACACGTGGATGACGGGTAGCTTTACCATTGATCACTCAGCGTACTCTGTGAAGAATGTATTACGGAGTAGTTGTTGTCGATCATAAGTCGACTGAGACGGCGGCACAGTTTCTTCTTCTACTTCTTTAGAGTAAAGCCCCCCCATGTCTCGGTTCGGTGTTGCAGGATGTCGTGAACCTTAGAGTACACCCCGAGACCTCGCTTTCGCGATGGCATCAAGAAGTAAGACCACGGCCCGGGCCGCCTGGTCTTTTGATGAATTTCGGATATTTTTGGCTTTTGCTCTGATAGGTAAGTCCGATGCTTATTGATTATGTCGGTGAACACAATCTCAACAATCTCATCTCACCCGAACTGCAGGTCTAACTAACACGATTCTACCATCCCTGATCCACGCCGCAAACTATCTAATCATCCCATACCCCCGGCACATCGTCATTCTCATCGAGGTCGCGCCGGTACTCCTCACCAAGCTAACTCTCCCGTTCATCATCCACCGTATTCCATGCCGAATTCGACCACTTCTCGTCGCGGTAGTATGGGTTATTCTCAAGCGAATCGCAGATGACACACCGCCGAACGTGCCCCCGCCAATTCGCATCGCGACGACTATTATTGCATCGGCTGCATCCGCGGCAATGGAGGTTTCCTGTCTCGGGACGCTCGGCCAGGCCGGGCTTCCGGGTCTCGCGGGGTGGGGCTTCGGTACCGGCGCGGGGTCGCTGGAGAATGCCGCGTGGCCGTTTCTTTTGACGTACGGGGCCGGGAAGCTTCTGCGCAGCGCTACGACGTATATCTACTACGCTGTAGCTCTGCTTTTGGTGGCTCACTTTGTCGTATTGCCTCCACGATTCTCGAAAAGGTGTACGAAGAATGACGCGCGAGGGAAGCAACATGAGAACGTCATTGTCGAGGAAGGCCAGTCCTTTTTATGGCACGATAGGTCCGCTGGTCTGAATCACGAGCGAAGTAGGTTCGAGTCGCTCCGCAATCTCATCCGCTCAGAGATATCACCCCTCTTCATAGCATCCGCGGCGATGTCTCTGCCACAGTACGGCCTCGCCAGGCCGCTCGAGGGATCGGCCTTTGAGACATTTGCCCACTTTTACACCACATACGGCATGGCCCTTCATCTAGGGGTATGGATCGGACGGTCTTCGCTCAAGATTCTCCCGGTGCGGAATCTCAGACTGCACATGACTACTTTGTTCGTCTGGGTGGCGCTTTCATTCTTTAACGCCATGTTCCTCGTCTCGACGCACCTGGCCTTTTTCATGGTCTTCTTAATCGGTCTAGCGGCGGGATCTGTGTATGTAAATGTCCTGGCAAGGCTAGTCGGAGAGGGGAGGGAAACGGCTGCTAGGGAGGTTGGTGTTGGGTTTGTTACTGCTGGCGATGCGGGGGGTTTGCTTGTTGGTGGCGTGGTGGGTTCTCTTCTCGAGATGACGATGTGTCGCTCGCTTGTCGATGGCAAACGGTGGTGCAATAGAGCCCGGTAGAGAGGTGGTTATATAGGTGACAAAGTAATTCACTGGTGAATGTATCAATATTGCCCTTCTACCTCGTACTCCCACTACTATTCTTATCACTGTCTTGGATTCTAGCGGTATGTTCCTCCTAGAACACACTCAGAAGACTAAATAAAAAGAGAAGAGGTAAGACTAAACAAAATAAAAGGAGTAATAGAGGTAATAGTCGAGGAAACAATGAAGGCATAGTTAACTGAATATAGAATTAGAAATAAAAATTAAAGTACAAATAAAAGTAAAATTAAAGAGATAATGAGAGAGACAGTAAAATAATAATAAAAGAGGTAGTAACAGGGATAGTAGTAAATATACGCCTAGTATATACTAAGTAGCGGATCGTTCTATCGTCTACCTATTTGTATCGACTAATAGCGTTGGATTTATGAAGAGCCCGCCTACTAGATGCTCTAATACTAGATACACCGGTAACTTATGTCTTCCCGTTATAGAGCTCGGCAAGCAAAGCCTCGATATGAGCCTCATCAATGTGCACGAAAAAGGATATTTAATCCTAACAAAGTTGATAAAAGCGCGGTTCCTATATCGGCACGGGAGCTCTGGAACTTTTCCTCGAGGATGTTGTCCTCACCGATTTTTAGGGTCGCAGTGCACCTATTGTCGCCAACTGCCAGTTCCAGTTCGACGACCCTGTTCAAGCTGACGCCATCTACTGTCATGAGTCGGCATGGGCCAAGCAAGATCAGAGTCTTCACCAGGTTTACTGACACTAGCCATCATGGATGAGCTGTTCTGCTAGTCCGTACAGCCAAAAGACATGACATCAACAAGTGAGTATGGAAACAAGTGGCTGTGTTTCTCATGTGCAGTTAGAATGATGAGTGGTAAAAAGTTGCCCTCTTTTCGACAGGAACGGTAAGTATAATAAAGAAAGGCTCTAAGATGCTGGCCGCCTCAAGTATTGACTCGAGACTTCACAAACATCCCTTGCCCCCTTGCCTCTGCTTGGATACAGCACCCGCCTAAAGCTGATCCAAAATCTTCTCTGCCGCGTAATCGACGTTCGTCCCAAAGTTATGCGCTTGAGTCTAGTAAAAACTGGTTAGCAAACGCCATCTCATAGTCATCCACGGATCGGGGAAGAATCGAGAAAAACAAACCTGAACATAAATCGCCCCATCCTCCAACACGACCTCCCCATACGTCGCATACGCCATCTTATCCACAATCCGAAAGTGAATCTCCCCCTTCTCAACAGCCTCATTAAACCCTTCCCTCAACATCTCATCATCCCCAAACTTTTGATAACTCATCTGATACACCAACCCCTCAAAATACATCCTCGTGAACGCACCCATGTTCCCCTCCCAATCACTCCTCACCTCACTCCCCTTCTTCCCCGCGGCCGCCTTGATTTTTTCAAAGTTCGCCTCAAAGTTGGGACACAGCACAACATCAGGCTTCTCGAGCATATCTGCCAACTTCTTCCTCGTCTCCTCGATCTTGTCATCATAGTCCTGCCTCACCGAGGTACGCGCCGCAAAACTCATCACCGCGGCGGATCCCGGTGCGGGCGGCGCGGCATTCAAGGCGGTCAGGAGACCCTGCGTCTCGATGGCGTAGTTGACGTTGGTACCCAGGTTTCCCTCGGAGAAGACGAGCGCCAGCGCGCCGCCTTCTTTGACGAGGACGCCGCAGTAGGAGACGCGCGCGTCCTTGGGGCGGTCGTCGAGGTCAATGAGGAGAGAGCGGGCGTGGCAGATGGAGTTGAGTTCGGATTTGCCGTCTTCGCCGTAGGTGGAGGCGAAGGATTTGAGGTTATAGATTGCCGAGGAGACGTATCTGATGCCGTGTTAGAGACTGGATTCGCTCTTTACTCTTGCGCGTCTGTGTCCGAGGAAGAAGTGTCTTACTGTTCAATGCAGCTTCCTAGGGACTCTTTGGCGTAGCCGTCCACGGCGTAGGGGTAGAGCGCGCTGGGGTTGATGTCCTTGAGCGTCCACTCCTCGCCCAGGACGTCAGAGAGCTCCTTTTGGAGGTCCTCCTTCTTGCTCTCCCACTCATCGCGGACTTGAGGGCGGTTAGTAAGTGAGGGTCAACTTGGGGCATCCATACGTACTGTTCTTCCGGACTGCGAGGGGTAGCTTTTCGGCTGGGGGCAAGCGAGACATGGCGATTGATCAGATGAATACGGTAAGTGAAGTTATTTTCAGATTGATGAGAGCAACTTCATCTAATGTGAGTCGTTGAACAGCAGCTTTTATCCTTCCCATCCATCATGTTCAATTCCTGAAGCCCAGCTTGCCATCTACGAAGTCCCTTTCCCCCTCTTTGAGCCTCCTTTCAGCTCTTCCTCACGAAGGATGAAAACAGCCTCACTATTGAATTTTGGCCCGCCAACGGCCACTAGTCACCCTCAATCACAGGGTTTGGATAGCGACTAAGTATTCAGCCTGGCGAGGCTAAACAGAAACGGCGACGGATGTGGAGGTTATTCTTTGACATCTGCCTAGCCTTGCGTTGTCTCGTCGCTTCTTTTCTCCTCATGTTGAATGTTGTGGACATGAACAGGTGAGGTTCGTTGATTTTGGTGGTGGCGCATCGCGGTGCATCGCGCAACAGCTCAGGCAGTCATTCAGGGGTTCAGGAGCGCTAGCTTACCTAACCTAAGCCTCTAATGCTAGTAGGCACGAAGGTAAGGATGAGCAGTGAGGGGAATTGCGGGGTGACATGTCGATCAACGGCCATCGCCATGGACCATGAGTCCATTACCCATGAGACGAGTCTTGCATGTCGTAAATGGGGTAAAACATCGACAATCGATCGGCTTACGGAGTACAAAGTGTTGCTCGGCACTGCAGCTTCGCATCACTGCGGAGTTTTGGGTGCCACTATGAGGCTGTGGCAGTGTGGAAATTGGTAATCCAACGTAGGAGCGGCGGCACCACTCGAAACCGGCGCCCGTCTCTTAATTAAAGTGTTGAACTATGTCTGCGGACCCGGGAGCTGCGGGCGGGCGGGCGAGAAGGGAGGCCGCCAACGCGCCGGAGACTCATGAGGTAGAGTGAATTGCAAGGTGGTTGACAATCGTGACATCATCAACCCTGTGTGTCCGTCCGTCAGTCTCCGAACATTTTTTTTTTTCCTCCTTCTTCTTCGGACCGGACCGTTGGCCGTCTCACCGTGTTGCTATTGTTGTCTCTGTTTCGGGTCTTGGTATTCCTTTTCTTTCTCTCACCGTCTGTATGAGTCTGACGGTTGAATGAGTTGTCGAAAGAGGGTCGAGACTCTTATTCGCAGGGATGTCGTGTTAACAAGACCGCTGCAACCCGGCACGTGCCTTGGTCATTGACACCTAACCTAACCCTTCTGAACTCCTGCTTGTTGTCACTTCCCGTCCATTGATGGTTATGTTTGCGCGGCGTGCCGGCCGGCCGATGGAACCGCTGGGCTGTGGCATGTTCACGCGGGTGGCCGCTTATGGAGTCCCGCGCTGAAAGTTTTGAACCATCAGCTCATCATCTGACCTGATGCGTCCCACCCATTGCAGATCGAGCCGCCGTGCCCCGGACCAGGCTAACTGTACCGTTAAGTAGTAGTCTGGGATTTACTGCACAGTAAGGCAGGGATAATTTGCCAGTGGACTCCCGTACCGCCCGTGAGCTATGAGGTGTAAAAACATAGTGCTGGCTATTTTCTTGGGGTTTTCGGAGCTTACAACACGCACTTTACCCAACCAAGGTTTCCGCAACGTCGTATTCTTTCGAAACCCAGATCAACAACCCCCGACTATACCGTACAACGTGCATTGTGTCATTTCTTCCTGTTTCTTTGCCCCGGGGAACTACACGGCAAGCCGCAAAAGTCGCATATGGCATGATTGACGTGTAAAAGGTACTCCGCCCCCTTCCCCTGTTACCTTTTTTTGCACGGCGCTGGGATGAGTGTGACGCCACATGCCCAGCTGCATGCCACCACGCTGCCGGGCACCTCTTGGCGCCCGATCTTGGCGGCGCCGGGGGGGAGGGGAGAGTGGCAGGGTCGCCAGGGTGGTGGATTATCGACTGATGCGTCTAGCTGCATCGCGGCTCCACTCGTGCTGCTTGGGAAGGTGAATATCAACCACCGGATGACTCCCCTTATAACGACGGGAGGGAGGAAAGAGAGAAGTCTCATTCTCACCATTCTCATCATCATCATTCATCTGACATTCAGAAACCGCAAAACAAGAAACTCACTACCCAAGACACCTTACGCCTGGCATGACAACTCTGTAAGTTGCCTCTCATAACCCTCACATCACATGTGTAACCCCATTTATCATCAGCAACTAACACAATTCCAGACCCCTCAAAGTAAAGGTTGCAATCCGTGACCACTGGACCAAGGAAGACAGCTACCTCCAGCAAGCCCTCAAGGCTCTCCGAGACGTCCTCGGCCTCGACGTAGACGTCACCCCGGACTGGCAGATCCTCCTCACCCAGCTCGACTCCGAGTACGCAGACAAGACCGACTTCGCGGCCGCCGTCGCCGGCACCGTCGAAGCATGGTGCCGCGCCGCGACAGAGCTCCTCGAGGACGACAAGAATGAGGAGTGGACCGACACCTTGCTCGACAAGCTGAGGCTGACCTGGTCGAGGTTGCGACTCTTTGTCGAAGTGAGTTTTCCTATTCTTACAAGACAAAGTATCTTGCAGTGAGAGACATGAAATATACTAACCATTCCAAAAAAAAAAAAGGTCGCCAGCGATGACCAAGCCTCAACAGCATGGTCCGACGACCGAGGCGGCTTCCTCATCACCCTCCCCAAAACCCAACTCATAACCCCAATGGACCTCCACCCGCTCTTCAAATCCGAAATCAAAGACTGCTTCGCCGACCACCACAAGCAACTTCCGCCTTACTCCGCCTCCCCGACAGAAGACTGGGCCGACCTGGAAATGGACGCCCGTCTGAACCGTCTCTCTGTAGGTGGAACAGGCCACCTCCGCCAGCGCGCCTCCATCTCTTCGACGGCGTCAAGAGGACCTGCACAGGCAGACTTCATGCCCAAGGCGGACGCCCTCCCGCGCCCCGACGAGCTGCTGCAGAAGGCGCCGTACCACCTCATCGTGTACAGCCGCGGCGCGCACGAGATTGAGATCCAGGGGAGCCACAGCGCGACGCTCAAGTTTTTGGCAGAGTATTTCAAGAAGTGGAGGAGGACGAATCATCAGATTAGCAGCAAGGTGAGCCTCCCCCCCCCCTCCCCCAGTCTTCATATTTTCACATGAAAATAATGAATCTGGAAGGTGCTAACAACATAAACAGCCTCCTGCAGTCGAGGTGAAGCTACACCAGTGCGCCTTCGGCATGGGCGCGAGCATCGACCGTCTGGTCCTCGTCTCGGAGCACAAGTACGGCGGTGCCTTTATCCTCACGCCCACTATTATCTTGTCGCTTGTCGAGGGCGTGTTGGGGTATAAGCCCGTATACTCGGACGCCCACTCGTGGACGTATCGGCGCGATACCGAGTTGAGAGCTTAGTCAAGTATGTTCGTGGCGGGACCACGACGATCGGATCCCGGATATGGGGTCATTGTACAGCATCGGATGGGAAATCACGGAATGGGACGGACAATGGGGAGGATGGAACGTTTTCACGATGCTCATGACCTCATAATGTTAAAGACTTAATAATGCAAGAAACCTCATTACTCATTATTTCATTAAATCGTTGCTTCTAACTTCATCAGAATAGTGCTGTAAACATTCTCTTAGTTAATTCGTGAACTTCCGTCACGTCTCAAGACTTCAGATGACCAGCCCATCGTGCCTGAACTTGGACCACATATCCCCGACCGCCGTCAGCAGGCGGGCCACCTTCAAGCATCGGACTCCGAAACTCCGCCCAGAAAAAGATCCAACGTCCATGATATGAACAAATCATGTAAGTGCTTCCGCTGTCAACAAAAGTTTACTACGAAACCAGCGGTCGGGTCAAAACCCACTATCAACTACATCCATTGAGCTGGATGACTGCTGGTCCGTAGCATACCTTTGCTTTTTACAGCGTAAGCTCTACAGATTAAATCCAGTTCGATTCGCCGCTCCCCTACTCAAGCATTCCGTACTGTGGGACCAATTTGCACCCCCGCAGCCACGGTCCCAGTCCGTCCAATGTCCACTTCGACGGAACAACGTCCCCGCCACGCCGGGAGCGTCCGGCCGCACTGATCCCCACACCATCCCGGATCCCGAAAGAACCGCCCCCGGCCCCTGCCCCCCCTCTTCGGACTCGGGCCTGAACATTGAAGTTGGTTCTGGCGGGGTCGGACTTATCTCCCCCGACGACTGGCAACTGGAAGCAAATTGTATGGGTCTCGATAAGCTCAAGGTTCCTTCAGCTTCGTCAGTGCGAGCTGCTGCGGCCTTATTTCCATTTTCTTTTCTATGCAATTTATGCGTTCTGACTGGTTCTATCCGCCCCTGCCATCTTCGTCTGAATGTTTCTGGCATGATGTCGTTTACAGTCGTCATGGCTGTATGTTGGTATAATTGCTTCCCAACGGGACCACATTCTCCGTCCAAATCTGAGGGAGATGGAATAAGTCCAACTCAACCGCAGCCTCGATTTCCGCTTCTTTCCACATCAAATCCCTTCCCCAGACCCCCCGCAAAAGTTTGCATCCCAAAGTCTTTAAAGACTCAAAAACCAGAAACCCAGAAACAATGCCCTTCAACGCAGACGCATACGACCTCAAATGCCGCCAAATGTCCGACCAAGCCCTCATCGCCCGCCGAACCCACTACGTCCGCCAACTCGCAAGCAGCTCAACCGCAACAGCGCTCCACACCGCCGCAGGCGCAGTCACCGCGGGCCTAAGCTGGCTCATGGTCCCCTACGACGCGGTGCGCATCCGCAACGCCCGGAGGAAACGGCATATTCTCGAGCGGCATGCCGTCGAGAGGGGGTTGGCGGTGAAGACGAAGCTGGGGGACGTGTTGGTTCCGATGGCGCTGGGCGTGACGTTTGGCGCGTTCGCGATCGAGGGGGCCGAAGTGTGTGCGGATGTGCTGGTTGGTACCGGGGGCGGGTCGTCTTCGAGCGCCGCGGCGGCGGCGCATGGTGTTGTTAAGGGGGTTGCTCATGTCGGGCTTGATGCTGGGATTGCGACGGCTGAGCATGCGCGGGCCAAGAGAGGAAAGATGAAGGTTGAGGAAAGTTTGATAAGGCGATGTGAACGAGGTGGTTTAATGAGTGAGGAATCGGAAAGGAAATGAGAGCTTCAGCGTCAAGACGAACGCATGGCGACGTTGGTCTTTGATGTTGACGATGTCGGCTCATTTCGCCCCAGTCGGTTCAAAATAGACCTTTACTGAAGGGCGTGACATGTCTGTCCAAAGGACAGTCAGAATTCGATTGAAGAGTTCAATCATAAGAGATGAGTGGAGTGTTGAAAAAACACGCGACACTTTTTAGAGGCGTCTTCTGAATCTGAGGTGAAGTGTTAGTGAGTGAGATCCGGAAACGCGCGGAAGACAAGAATTGCTTACCGGAAGCACCATAGTAGACCGCACATAGCGGGCACCAGGGTAACCAAGAGACCAGCGCTCCAGTATCGCGTGCTCAGGCGATGAACCTCCTTCAGCCTGCGCTCGTTCTCCTCCTCCTCCTCGTCGATAATAGCCCACTCATTGTCCTTGCTCCAGTAAATGTCAAACTTGCCCTGTCGAATTGAGCCGTGCTTGATGTGGACCGAGTTCATGGCTTGGTGGTGTGTATAATGCCGTTTGGCGTTGTTGGTGTTGTTGACGGTGATGTTTTGGATGTGAGGAGCCTTCGAGGAAGCTCCAAAGGTTGGGGGGGGTGTACAATTCCTAGTGGAAGTTTGCTGTCAAAACAGAACTTATGAGGGAGGGCGTTTCTTCTTGTATGAAAAATTATCTCTCGCCCTCGAGTCACTTATCAAAAAGGGCGCCTCAGGACTCCGTAGATAGGCCTTACACACCCTTGATAGGGAGGCGCGTAGGGCAGAAAATGCGCAAAAGATGGCGAAACTAATTCGAGATCGGCTCGGGTTATTTCCAATTTTTATTATGGGGCACCTTCACACCCGTTTCCGGACCACAAACATGCCTCCTTTGGACCCTCCTTTGCCGCTCTGATGGGACCCTCCCAAGCCGTGCAGGCGTGGTAAAACAAGCAGGTGTGTGGAATCGGTGGGTATTCCGAATGCGCAGGGAGCGAGCGGCTTGCGTCAATTTTCAGCGGCCCGATAATCAAAAGGATTGGCAAGATTTGAAGATGGCGCGAGCCGCAACGCCGCGAACCAGATGCCAGGGCTGAGGCATGCGGACCTTTTCTTGATATTTTTTTACAGCTAAATTTCGCGCGAGGCCCCCCCCCTGTGCTTTCCGGTCTTGGATAGCTCTAATGCATTAGCTTATGGCAGCTCTTCACCGTGACTTATCTTCATTACCTTATAAAGCAGGTAGCTTCGGCACGGACGGATCCACCTTGTTGTTCGTTGTCCCTTTGTTGGGCGGCATTCCCATCGAGGACAACATTTTTTTTCTCTCTCGGGACGCGCGCCACACACCATTGCGTGAGCCGCCTTACTTTTTTGCGCGGCTCATCAGAAATAGCTCTTGGCTGACATTGCGCATTTTACTCACATTGAGGCGGTGTACCTAGTCCAGTCATCCGCCTTTCCACGGAAGTGAGTAATCTCACTGACGGACGAGTGTCATGCCACTGCTTAAATAAGGGGGAATATCTGAAATGATTCGAGCAGGTCATCCAAGCGGAAACAGAAAAGGCTGAGTTTCACGAACCGGGCACATGTCAAGCCCAAGCAATTTGATTTGAACAATTACTTTTTTTTTACATACGGAATAGACATGGGTTCCGACATGAATGAATGGATCCCCCTTGGGCATGCGTGTGTTTTGCTGGCATCGTCGTTTCCCAGCCGATTTTTATCAGGGTCCACCACTCATCGACAGGGGCAAGCCGCAAAGCCGCAGCTTGCAGGCGAGAAAAAAGACAGACCCACTACCCGCCACTCGGTGAGTCATTGCGATAAGGTAGGCTCCACTCACACACACACACACGATGGATCCCCCATCGGCCCGCTGCCCGTTTGCGTTTCGGTGAAGGGCTTCACCGAGGGAAACATCACCAGTGTGGTCAACATGAGCTTCACGCAACGGGGGGTTAGTTGTGCACCCCAATTTTACCATGCGTATGTGCCTGAAATCGAGCACTTCATCGTATCTGTAACATGATACATGTATGAATGGACTTTTTACCTCCCTTCTTACTACATCTCGCTAGTTCGTTGGAAGCTACGCGTCGCAAATGCAACCCCAAGAGAAGTGGATGTAATCTACAACTGATGTACTCTTCAATCATAATTTTTATTGTTGTACGTTACTTCTTTTTTCGATCGATCTGGACAAAAATCATAGACGTGTTCTGGTTACAATGGCAGTCCTCCCTTGCACCTATTTTTCCGCCTAAATCTACCGCGCCAACATCCTACATGCCTGGCAACTTAGCTTGTCTAATATTCGACTACAGTACAAGCAGCCTATATAGTAGATCTGACGGCAAGACTCCATTACTTTCTCTTGCCAAGCGTCCTGGTTGAACTGGTCAACACTTCATAAATGCACGTCGTGATGGTCCTTTTAACGTACCTATGCCAGCGCAGACTACTAGATCACAGTTTGCTATCAAACTACAGCCGACCCATTACGCGCTCAATACCAAGAATCATTCCTCTTTATGGTTATATACGACGCTGAATACTCACAACTCGGGAAGAATGACCGTCGAATGGAACGCCTCCTGCGCTTTTAACAGGAACCCCCTGGACACCACTTGTGGAGATGCAGAGAAATGCAGAGACTCATAAGACACGATATTACAATCCGCAGCAATCGTCCGCAATGAGAACACCTTTCTCTCTTGCCTAAATCAAAGGTCTCTAGCGCATTACCCGCCTTTTTGTATCTTCACAGGGCTATCTCTGAAATACCTGCCTGTATTTAGACAGAAAACCGAGCACATCGATCCCTATATAAGGTAACATACCACCCGTGGATGCGGCATACCTTACCTCGAAAAGATCCCCCATCTCGACCCCGGAACAAGCACCAGATAGCTCGTGAGGCTCTATACCCGATGAATTACCATCACTCTCAACGACAAGCACTTGGGGCGGATACCCCAACTAGAACAGTGAAGTCTCCTGTTCTATTTCGGGATTCAAGTTTGAAGCCTCGATCGGGCGTGTTCATTATTGGGGGGGGGGTTGGCTTTTCTAGTTTCTTGTTACCTCCTACTGAATCGTTGTGATATGCATGGGGATATTGATCGCAGCCTCAACACCAAAAGGGCTAGGTACTTCTTGCTGGGTAGGATGTACTCTATCAGCATAACCCCCTTACGATTATGTGAAAGTAGCCAGGGGCGCTGAACTGTGTAAGCCCTGTGTGGAAACTAACACAACCTGCAAGAATCGTCATTGTATAATGAAAGTGCCTACTATATGCGATACTATATGCGATAACAATGAGAGGGTATCATTCTATAAAACTACATGCACCAACCAAACCCAAAACCTCATTTACACGTCTACAAGGTCGCGTTCCTCACAATCCCATTCTCCGTATACAAGTAAGGCGGCGTCTCAGGTGGACTCCGCCCATTCCGATACAACCACAACCTCGAAAGCTCCTTCACCTTGACAGTCTTCTTCCTATGCCGTCCCTTGACATGCTCCCCATGAAACTCAACCTCATTATTGACATCCCTCCCCAGATACGCAACCTCAAACGCCTCGCGCGCGTTGGCCCCGGCATCACCCTGCCTCCCAACCTGGATCTCACTCTCCATGAACTCGCTCTCCTCCGCGGCACCGATAAACTCCCCCGTCTCGGGGTCCTTTGCGAGGGGGAACATGCCGTCGAGATAATGCTGGCAGAACTGGTGGCCACCGCGCTCCGAGGCCCTTACGAACAGCCGCCCGATGAAGCGCGGCATGCTGTGGTCCGCCGTGAGGGACGTGCAGAAGTGCAAGACGCCCCAGATGGCTACAAAGTCCGTGGTGTGGGCGTAGTGCTCTACGTGGCCGATGGCGCGGTCCAGTGCGGCCGTGGAGGATCGAGAGGAGATGGAGGACGACTCTTTGGGGATGCTGGGGGTGCGCGGGTTGCCGTTTTCGTTTTTGCTTCCGGTGCTGTGGCTGGTGACGAGGCGCTGTTGACCGCTGTTGGCGATTGGTGATATGGGACTGCTCACGAAGTCCCCGTGGGCTATGCTGGTTGTGGTCAGGGTCATGGCGGCTGGGTTGCTTTGTGCGAGGGCTTGGGACATTGCGTGGCGATGGGGGTTGTTGAAGTGGTTTGCGGCATTGCCAAAGGTGTACACCTGGGAATTGTTAGAAATGCCATCAGATAGCATGCATGCATGGTGTTGCTCACCTCGAGTTTGGCAAGAAGATCTTGTGGCAGTTCTTGCAAAAGCCAGTCGAGAACGAGACCACCCTCGATACCTCCCTGCGAATGCAAGACAAAGACCACCTTGGAGTATTGCGGGTTGTAGAGCGTTTCCTTGACAATTCGATAGCACATCCGTACATCGTAGGTCGCGTATCCCAAGTTTCGCTGGATCAAACATTCGACAACATCGAAGAGGATTCCCGAGGTCTGGTTGTGAATGCCGAGGATTGGCCGCTTAAAGGTGAGAGCAAGTCTATTTAGGTTGTTCTTCATCCAGTGGTCCCTGATGCAGTGTTAGTCAGTCTGTTTGGTGCTCCCCAGATGGGTCCTTGAACATGCATATTGAGATGCACTGGGGACATATAATGATGGTTGGTCACAACTTACCCCACGGCAACCCCATTCAAAAAGATCCATTTCTCGTGAGCATGCTCCGGTAGCTCTGGTGCGTACTTGGGGTCCGAGGTGTAGGTGAGGGTTGGCCCGTTCAGCAATAGGCAGAGCAGGTAGTTGACGGCGAAGAAGGCACCAAAGGCGAGGCCGGCGATCCAAATAGGCAACAAGACAGCAAACGGCAAAGCCAAGATGAAGGCAATTTGCAAAACACACAAAAAGAGGTGCATTCCCACACAAAAGAGGTTTTGCCTTGTGAAAGCCAACTCATCGAGGTCGCCCGAATCGGCTGGGGTAATAGGCCATACGATCCATGGAAGAGCCCAGATGTACTGGAAAAAGTAGTAAATGTCCCATGCGAGCAGCTTCCACGGGAAATCGGTATAAGAGTAGCTGATGACGGAGCTGCCTCCCACCTGAGAGCCGAGAAATTTTGTCGATCCCATCCTTTGTTTGTGCAGCTCAGTTCGTTTCTGTTGTCGTGATCGATACCGCACGGCGAACCTGTCGCCCAAGCCTGGGATGGAGAAGAGGCCGGCGGCCATGATGACGGGTATGGCTAGGACGATATAGAGCCAAGAATAGCCAGAAGACGAAAGTGAGAATGACAGAGAGGGCGATGACAGAAAGGGAATGTGGTCAAGTGACCAGCGGGAGACGGACGGTGGGTGCTCACGCGGCATTATATCGTGGGGAAGAAGATGGAGATGGAGGGCGGGCGCCGGTCAGACAAAACGAACAAACTTCCAACCACAAACTAGAGATGCTAGTTCCCCCCTCGTAGCGGTCGTTAGCATTTCATGGGGAAAAGAGTAAGGCATTTTTCTGCTCCAGAGAAGAAGTAGAGACACAAGCAGACACAAGGTGCAGGGCTGAGTTGGCCTGAACCCGGGCCGGGATAGACGACGGCGTGCCTCTTGGCTGGTCACTCGACCAGGGGGGCAATCGCCAATTAGGGGGGTCGGTCGCAGCGGCTAGGGCGCCACCCCGCTGCCTGCTCTTCTCTCTGTTGCCTTAGAGGTCGATGGTCTCGTGTGTTTTTGGGGGCTGAGATGGGGCTGCAAATAAGCGAAGATGAGATGGGCGAGAGCGAGATGCAGTCAGATCCGGGCTGTGCACCAAGAAACCGAAAGCATACCACCGTTATAGTGCGAGGCTCTGAGATGTTGACAGATTACACAAGGAGAGGCCAGCGACGGTTACGCCGCTGGAGTTGCAAACAGAAAAGGACAAGATGCCAGAGAATTGGAAAGTAACTATGCCTTGCCTTGGGACTGTTTGAGGTGCATGTGGGCGGCTTACAGGCTGCAGTATAAAGAGAGCACCACATGCGCCAACAGCCCTTTGAAGGAGAGCCAGCAGACGCGCATAGGACCCAATAAGAGTGCCCATCTGTCGTCATTTCCGACGTTGCATGCCCAGCTAATCGGCACGTTCAACCCGATAGAGTCACATCCTCGAGGGTCCAAGCCGCTTATTGCGATCCTCACCCGGCGAGGCAACAGGCAGCCTTGAATGCCGAAATTTGGTTGGGACAGAATGATAGCCTCGTGAATATTGCCCAAGGTCTGACCGTTCGTTCTTGGGGAAGTGTCAAAGTGAGTGGCTGGATGTCGATCTGGCAGACACCGAGCTGAGTTGTTCGGGTCCTACCGCGTGCGTGCAGCAATGTATCATCAAAAGTCCAGATGAATTGACGTCTGGATTCCCTGTCCGTCGAGTGATTCAAGCGCGGGAGAGACATGGAGAGGCTTGGCTGTCAGATTTGACGCAGTTTGGTCTTGTTAATCTTTCGACAGCATCGTTTGCCTTCGTGCTGCCCTCCAACGAGGAGATGCCTTGAGCATCATAAAAACCATCGGTCTCAGCCATAGAGTGATATTCGGAGGCTCAATTTCACCGGAATAATGCGTGACTCTGGTCGTCCTGGGGCTGGTCAAGATAATTGCAGCAGCTGTGGAAGAGTTGATAGTCGAGGTGACGGGAAGTTGACGCCCAGGCCACTGGGGAATTTGGGAACAAGAGATGGCCCGTGCACAAAGTTCCTTCTCCAACTACGCAGTACGCAGTAGGGAAACAAATCATGTGTTTGGTGGGGGGCAGTTTGTTGACATTAAATCTCCAAATCCCACGTCAACATCCCGCAGCTGCCAAAGTGACAACTCGAATCTCAACGCCTGGAGAGCGCAATATCCATACATAAGACCTCTCCAAACACGATATAACCATGTCAATGCTCGCCGTCCACCTCGAGCAGATCGCCATCTCCTGCGAGGGCATCGACTCGCTCCCGTACGCACCTCCCACGCCCACCACAGCCCCCCTCCTCAAGATACCCTCACCTTTTCCCCGTCCAAGACATTTACGCTAACACACAACCACGCCCAGCTTCCCACCCCCCAAAATCTTCACAAACGCAATGCTCTACAACACCGACATCACCTCCCTAATCCGCGACACCGAAGCCCACGAACGTGCCCTCTTCTCCGTGCCCCCACCCCCACCACCACCAACAACATCCTCCTCCTCTTCCCATACGCAAGACGCCGCGAAACCCACCACCTCCCGCCGTCAAACCGTCTTCAACGTCGCTTCGGGCGAAGTCACAACCGGCCCACCACCAGGAACCTCCCGCGCAGCAGGCGGCAGCGGCCTAGGCGGACCCCGCCGCCACACCGCTGTCTCCGCCGTCCTCGGAGGCGACCTTCACGCCCAGCTGCGCCGCGGCGAGCGCCAGGCCGCCAGTAAAGGAGGCGATGTTGACGTCGAGGTGCTCTTGCAGGGCGCGACGAAGCTGTGCGGCGTGTATGCTCTCCCTGGCGCGCTCGAGCGGATCCCGCAGCTGAGGTCGCGGTACGCGCACCAGACGAATACGCTGGCGTACTACGAGGCCAAGGTTGCTGAGAACCAGGCTGCGGTGGAGAGGATGAATAAGGATCACTGGATGGGGGAGGGGGATGATGAGCAGTTTGACGAGGAGGAGGATGAGGAGGAGGAGGTGGTGGGCGAGGATGTCATGACGGAAGAGGATTTGCGGGCCGAGGAGGAGTTTGTGAGGGAGCTCGATAAGAAGAAACGGGAGCTGCAGCAGCGGTTGCGGGCGATGGAGAAGGATCTAGGAGCGTTGCTAAACATGTGAGGGGGCAAAGGGAGAGATACATTAAACGAGGGCGTTTCTACCACGGTTGTTTTACGAAATGATACCCCCCAAAATTCAAACAAACTCCATCACGACCCAAGGTATCCTACACTCGATTCACTTCCGTGTGTCCTGAACCTCAACATGAGAGCCCATCCTGCCCACCAGCCGCCCTCCCACCCCTCTCCCTCGCCGCAACAATCTGTCCCAAAAACTCACCCACCTCCTGCGCGCCCCCAACCTCGTACTTATCCTCAATCACAAAATGCGGCACCCCCCTCACCCCCATCCGATACGCATCCTCCACCTGCTTATCAACCTCCTCCCCTCCCTTGCCCTCCTCAAGCCACCTCCTCACCTCCCCCCTCTCAAGCCCACCCCGTACCGCCGCGTCGACAATCATATCCCAGCTCGTCACATCCCCGTCCTCCTCAAAATAACTCTTCATAATCGAGTCCACCACCGCGTTCTCCACCTCGGGGCCCTTGGACTTGGCCAGCTGGATCGTCCGGTGGGCGTCCCGCGTGTGCCCAATCTTGCCGCCAAACGTGAAATTGAAACCCTCGGCGGCGCCCAGCTTCTTCATGCGCGCGTGCATCATCTCCAGCCTGTCGGCGCCGAAGCGCGCCGCCATGCGCTCATTGACGGGCACGCCTTTGGGGGGCGCCGTTGGGTCGAGGTAGTAGGCTTGCCATGTCACGTTGAAGGTGTCGTCCTTGCCGTTGGGGTACGTCTTTTTGTACAGGTCTATCGCCCTGTTCAGACGGGCTTTGCCGAGGTAGCACTGCGTTTGACGTTAGCCATGTCGGTTTGACATACGAATTCTAGGTGGGAGAGAGTCCTCTTACAAAAGGGCAGACGGGGTCTGATATGACTTTGATGTTAATGGTGGCCATCTTGCTTGCTTGACGTGCGGCGTTCATTCGCTCCCAAACTTGTTAATCGACGAGGAGAGAATAAAAATACACAGACAAGTATGGTTGTATAAGGTTTATCATCGAGAAATATGGGAATCAAGACGTCAAATATGTCGGTAAATCGGCCTCGGCGTCGAATACGGCGGGACTCCGCCGACACTGGCCGACTTTTAGTTGATTACCAATCAACCCCGGAGCCCGATCCGACCGGAATCTTTTAGCTAAAGGCCGGCGGGATTCCTCCATGTCGAGCGACCTTACCCGTCTCTTCATCAGCAAAAAAAAGAGCCCACACCCGCCATTATTCAGCCGTGCAAAATCGGCGAAGGCGGGTCTGGGAAGGTTCCGATTGCTTTCGGCACTCTGTATTTCGGCACTTGATTTGTTACGTTGCATTCATGATTCGTGGAGTCTATTGCGGCCCTTGTCCTTTCCACCGCCGAGGGGCCTGTCGCCCTTGCAAGTCGCAAGCTAATAAAGCACAGGCCCATTCCAAAGCTTGTATTCTGTCATCGCTGCGCAAAATAATTCCGCAAAAGGATCCGCCGCAAATACATGTGAAGCCAGAGCCGGGGGTATCATTATGTTCGAGTCGTGCTCTCAGGGCTTAATCAACGGAATATCGTTCTGTCGCCTCTCGTAGTCTCTGGTCATTCCGTGACCGACGCGATTCGTAAGGCTGTCTGCGATACCTTCGTCGCTCGTCTCTCCTCCAGGTTGAAGGATAAATACTGTCGGCGCTTGTGGACGATTCTCCACGATTGGCTGCGCTGGGACTCTGTGACCGTCGCCGCTTAGGTACAACATTCGGATATTGTACAGCGCGATCCCAGCTTTCGAGCGACATGTATGGGCTTCTCAGCCACGCTCTAAGCTCATGAAGCAGCAGTCGCGTGTTCTCTCTGCCCAGGAACTCTTGAATAAGCTCCTCGGCTTGGCCCATGCTGCCTTGCATATCGACCGTCTTCAAGATAGCGATGATGTACTCGAGCAAAAACTCAGCGTTGTTGGCTCTGCGACGTCGGACTGGGTCGGTATCTTGCGGCCGTGCATCATTATCGGGCGAAAGGAACTCAAAGACCTGTAGCTCGCGCCGGAGAAAAGTACGCGCGCGCGAGACAAGCTCTGTATCGGAGGCAAACATTTGCGGAGTCAAGTCCCTGTATCTTGATATCCGGTTGGAACCCACATGGAGTGAGTACAACTGATGTCGATAAACATGTCTTCGGCGGGTGATTGCCTCATCCTGCGATGGATTCAGTCGAGTCGTCGAAGGCGCATGTGGCCGTGACCGCCGTGGGCGAGCTTGGGAGTAATACCGCCTCGTCTGCTGATTAGGTGAAGCATGCGCTGCGGCTTCAGCCTTATCCGAGGGTCTTTCTGGGGCCTTGAAGGTTTTCCATTGCTTTCGGTCGTCGCTAAACTCGTAGCGGACCTCCTTGATCTCGGTTTTACATAGCGGACATGCTGTTTGTCGTTCCAACCATGTCGCGAGGCAGAGGAAGTCGAAATTGTGGTGGTGGCATGGTTGCGCCTCACAACCTTCGGTGATCTCCTCGAGGCAAATGACGCAACAGTCTTGGAGATCCGTCGGTCGGGTGTTGATCTCCTGCAGCGTGGTCTGCAAGACGACGGAATGGATATCTCGTGGACTCGAGTTGTCGCTGGATGTCGCTTCGGCGGACATGCCACAGGTGCAGACCGTGCCCGAGAGAAGGAAAGTAGTGTATGACGGAGGAAGAAGACGATGTCATCCAGTCACTTCAGCGATGTAACGGCTGTGTTAATCAGCAAGAAGTCGCAGCTTAAACTCCGATAAGATAAGATACAACAAGGTGGGGCACTGAGTCCTTAGCGCTACGTACCTAAAGTGCTGCTGGGCGACCGTGGATCTTTCGTGTTTAGTGATTTTCCCCTGTCGCGTCGCAACCGCGTTTGCTTCCCTCCACCTTGAAATCCACCCTGGACATCTTCGACTACGTACCTCAACCCAAACCACCTACTCAACCTTAATTTTGTGCTTTCCCCAATCTTCAATGACGTAGATACATTTTGGCCAGCAACTGCCTCACAATGGACGACCCAACAAAGGCAGAGTATGAGCTTCAGTCACAGACACTACGTGCTGAACTCAAGACGTGGGAAACCTCCTGGGTAAAGTCTCACGATGGGAAGAAGCCGGGCAGAGACGACATCAAGCGCAACGCTGATATAGGTGAGCATTGTCTTCCCTCAAGCACAAGATTGATCAAAGATTGACAGATAGTCAGCACAAAAGTACAAGCAATACAACAAAGTCCGCGATATCCTTTCGGGAAAAGTCCCCCCACCTTCAAAAGAGGCCCCGAGACCGAAGAAGCAGGACGAAATCCCTTCTCTTGTCAGAACCCCGTCGAAGAAACACAAGCACACTGAGACGCCGTCGAAGAGAAGAACGAATCCCGAAGATGTCGGCCTCACCACCACCCCTTCGATCTCCAGAACCCTCTTTAGCCCTGTAGCCCCAAGGTCAATTGGACCTACACCACAGCGCGATGGCCGTGTATTAGGACTGTTCGACCTGATGGTAGAGCGTGAACTCGGCACACCGTCAAGAAAGAATATGAATATCAACACCTCTGCTGATGCCAGAGTGATGACGACACCGCGAAAACGTGCAACGCCCATGGACGAGGAGGACGATGCGAAGTTTGGGCGGACGCCAATGTCCACGAGCAAACGACAAATGCTAGACAGCTTCATGACACCTCTGAAGAACAAAGATGTTCCTGCAGCAGACGCCAAAACGCCAACGACCGTTTCGAAGCTTCAGTTCAGCACCCCGTCCTTTCTCAAACGACATACCCAACCACCACCAAGCAAGAGTGAAGACTTTGCAGCGCCGCCACTCCGACTGCCTCGGAAACCACTGGTCCGTGGCCTCAGCGCTATTGTGGCAAGTCTAAGAAAAGTGGAAGAAGACAACCTGGACAACGATGACGAACTCGAAGCTCTACGGGAGGCAGAAGGCGAAGTTGTGCAGCCCAAAGTACCTCCGAAGCCGAAAGCGGATATTCTCGCTGCAGACAGTCAGGTCAACCTACCCCTGGGAGGATTTGACGATGAGGCTCTTTACGACAGTCCTGATGAAGAGCAGGTAGGACGTGATGGAATGCCATTGAGGATATTCAAGAAGAAGGGGCAGAAACGAACTACGAGGAGATCCAACATGAAGCCTGTCCATGTCAAACGGCCATCTGCCCCCGCCGAGGAAGAAAATCAACAGGAAGACGACGACGACGAAGAAGTTGTGCCCAAAACACAAAACAGTGGCGATCCAGAGGACGACTATGATGAGCTCGCGGGCTCGGGCTCAGACTCGGAGTTTGACGAGTCGGCACCAAAGGCCAAGTCCACGAAGAAGAAGGAAGAAAAGAAGACAGAGAAGAAAACAGAGAAGGAGGGGACGGTCAAGAAGGTTGTCAGAAAGGTGAACGCGATGGCGCACACCAATTTCCGGCGATTGAAACTGAAAAACAACGGCGCGAAAGGCGGGCCCGGATACAACAGCAAGTTTAGAAGACGACGCTGAGTCGACATTTGCATTGCAAGGCGTTTACATGGAAAGCGACATCCCATTTCACAGTGCTGATGAATGCATGCCTACAATAACATATCATTATCATGAACTGCCCTTGAGCACGTCGTCTGTGTGTATCATTTATTCGTAACATTTCTTAACAGGTTTTGCATATCAGACAACTTTGCACCACGACAGTAAACGAGCTCCCAATCGCCGCATCAAGACAGTGAAGTAGAAGGTCGCAAAGTCGCAGCTGATGGCAATCATGAGCCATGATAACCCGGCCGAGAAGACGACACGGTTGACCAGGAACCGATCTTGCTGCGGCATTTCAGCAGGAATTTCCCCTTCTTTCTCGCTTAGCCATTCCGTCTCAGTCCAAAGGGCATCTTCGGTACCATCACACATCTCCAGCTCTACGAATTTGTCAATCAGGCCTTGCCCACGATCAATATGTCGTTGAAGCCGCCTCAAGCAACAGTACGACGGTCCGCCCCGCGCCACGGGCATGGTCCCCTCTCCTTTGCAAACCACTACCGGCACCTCCCTCTCGACCTTCTCGCGATACCCTTCTCCAGCGGTCTCTATGGCATCCACTAGGCATAGGAGCCGTTTATAGTCCTTGAGCACTTCCCAAAGCCAACAAAACGCCAGCGCCACCTGCAGCAGCATATTCCTCGTCACATCCGGCCCGTCAAGATCCGTCATCTGCGCAGCGCAACAATTCCTCAACGCCTGCTGCCGATTCAGCACCTCACGACAAGAGCGCATCCGCGGAGGCGGCGAGTTATACAAGGACGGATTCCACTTGTCCGTCTTCTCTTCCGAGTGGTCTTCCTGATGCCATCGTTCCTGCCAGAAGGCGTTCCAGAAGCTGGAGAGTGTCTCAGAGGCTGTTTGTGCCAAGGGGAATGCTCGGAGAAGCTTCGCGCGCCAGACTGATGGCCAGTTTGTCACGAGGAGGGTGAAGAGAATAAACCCAATGACGTCGCTGGCGAGGAATCTTGGTGAGGGGGTGTACCCATGCAAGATACTCGTGATGTCGACGTGGAGGTCGGTGAAGCGGCGTTTGAAGCCTCGTCTTTTTGGAGAACTGGAGGGCGGCGGAGAGGTTTCCATCGCTGTGTTGATCGGTAGGTCATTTCCTTCTCAAGAATGAGTCCATTGCTCGCGTTTTTGGCTGCTGAGACGCGGGATCTTGGCCCTTTTCACATGCGATTTCGTTTCTTGATCGTCTTTGCACAGCTACCACAATCATTTCAGCTCAACCCCCACCGTGAGCTGCGCCAAGTCCAACAGAAGCCATGCGCTGGCATTATTTTTCCAGAGGTGCAAATCCTGGGGGGTTTCCCTTTTCGAATCTCACTCGCCTGCGAGCCGCAGGCTAGGAGTGGCCGATTAGCTCTCTGGGAATGACTGCCTGTCGTCTGATGTAAGACGGTGCCCACATGTAAGCGCTTATCCCAACCCCTTGGTACCAACAGCTGCAAATACGTTTTCTACCGAGACGGTCTGGTTCGTCTAGGGAACGAAAGGATCCGGGTTATGCTCAATGATCACGTGGCTTAATTGAGTGTAAGAACGTCATTGGTAGGCAGCGCGAGTCTATGTTTATCGGATGGTGGTCAGTACAAGTACCCAACCCTTGTCTGAGGACTTTGGTTTTGCGAGCGTATCGTTATTACTGGCTGCCTTACCTATCTCCAACTGAACTTACTCACCTAGCCTTGATGCTTGGGCACAAAAATACACCATGAAGATGTCGCAAATCCAGCGCCCACCACAGGACTGTCAGTCACGCCCTGGCATGTATCGCCTTTACCTGTGATGTTGCCAGGTAGACAAATACTTTTCGACTCGTTTTTGTATTACATCCAAGTCTACCGTACCTCCTGCGGTGCTTCAATCGTAGTCACAATAGGACCCTTCTCACCCTCCTTCCCAACTCCATTCGCCGCCTCGCCTCCCGAAGCAAGCTTATCCCCCGCCTCCGCATTCAGCCTCACCCACATGTCCTTCCTCAACTCCAACCCGTCCATAAACACCCGGAACCAAGACGGGTCATACACCGGCAGCGGCCTGCCTACCCCATTCTCCGGCTCGCCCGCAAGTTCCCTCAGAGTTTCAAAATATTCCTCAAAGTGCGGGTGCACAAGCGAGAACCGGATGTCGTCCCCCTTCTCCTTCACCCTCTCCGCCTCCCACCTCGCCTGCTCCTCCTTGGACGGCAACTTTGCCCGCCCAGCCAGCACGCGCGCCGCGAGGACAGCCTGCCACTCAAAGATCTTGAACGTCAGACCGGCCGCCACGGCGCCGATGAAGAGCAGCGAAGGGTCGGCGTGGTAGATTACATGCTGGTAGAGCCCTACGACGCGGTTATTGCGCAGCGAGACGGAGGGTAGGAAGGGGAGAGTCCACGTGAAGCCCGTGGCTAGGACAATGTTGTCGACTTCTGACACGGAGGTGCCGTCTTGGAAGTAGACTGTTCTTGTGGATGCGTCGATGCGGGCGATTGTGGCGCGGCGCGAGATGGAAGGGTGGTTGAAGGCGCCGTCGCCAAAGTAGAGGTTTGCTTTGCGGCCGTTTACGACGGAGTAGATGGGGAGTTTTGCCGTCTTGACGAGGTCAATTGAGATGTCTGCGCCTGAGACTGACGCGCCTACTACGACGACGCGCTGGGGGTTTTCAAGTTAGTTCTTTGATCGGGCTGGCGAGAATTTTTTTTTAGCTGGCTATGTTTACCTTGTCGCGGAATTGATCTCGTCCGCGAAAGTGCTTGCTGTGAATCACGCTTCCCGGACGAGCCTTTTCAAACTCCTCGAGACCCTCGATGTGCGGGACGTACGGGACCCAGTAGTGCCCCGTCGCAACGACGACGGCATCAAAGTATTCTACCCACCAGTCATCCCCTTCGTCGTCTTCTTTCCTGACAGTAAGCTTCCACTCATTTCCGACCTTCTCAGCGCGCTCGACCGTGGTGCGGTAGGAAACGAGATCTTGGTAGCCGTTGCGGTTGACCAAGCCCTGAACAAAGTCTCGCACCACGGTCCAGTGCCGGAAGGGTGTCTCGGGCCCGTGCAAGGCAATCGAGTTTTCGGTGCGTTGCTCGGGGAGGGATTCCTCGGAGAAGGACATGGGGATGGCGTCGACGTTGGTTTCGAGATAGGGGTAGATTCCGGACTCGGTGAAGCGCGGCGGGGTCGGGGTCAAGCCGGCCGGGGACTTCGGCGTCCGGGAGGGGAGGGTTTCCGGGATCGGGAGGGGTTGGTCAGCGGTCCGGGCGGCTAGGGAGGAGAGGTTTGTCAGGTTTGGTGGTGGTGTTTGGTCGCCGACCCTGTGCGTGACGGAAGGTGTCAGTGCATGTTTTTGGGGTTCCCGTCGTCTAGTTCAACCCTGGCGTCATATTCATTCCATCTCATCGCTTGCCAACTCGTCTAAGCCCATGCTGCCAAATCCTATGACATTGATAACGCGGTTCATTGGCTGAAGGAACTGACCATCTGCTTCAGCGATCTAGATACCAGAGCTCCATCAGGGTTCTCATTGTCCCTGATTCTCGTCCATTGGATTTCACCAGGGAACAGCTTGAACCATCAAGGTACCTCAATGTGCTCCATAAGAGTACAACCATCCCCGCGCAACAGTCCAATGGCAATAACTTGCGACGAACAAGAAGAAGTACTCACCAGCATCCGCCCGCTGCCTCTCGACGCTCAAACACACGAATGACGTCGAATTTCTTCTCCCGTGCCAGGGCGTCAATGGTGATGGCCCCGGCCGGCCCCGCGCCGATGACAGCAACTCGCTTGACTGCAGCCATTCCTCAGGGAGTCGCTTCTTTTCCGAACGTTCTATATTTTCTTCAACGTAGAATAGTAGAGAGGGTATCACAATTTCTTCAATGGAATAATGAGAAGGAAGAAAGAAAGAGCAGGATACGCGACAGTCGATCTCGAGCGCGAGAGTGTGCGAATCCTCTCACTTTTTTAGCTGCCCTCCCGAGAGTTTGGGAGCGGCTTGCAGCGGACGGATGGAGGGGTTCAGAGAGGAACAGGGGTGGACCCCACTACCGGACAACCAGACGGTCCAATCATGTCGTCGTAAAATGCCTGACCGGGTAGTCGGGCAGGGATGCCGGTGCTGTCCGTGGTGGTGGAAAGTCGATTTGGTCATCTTAGCGCCCGATGGCGTTATCGTGTGAGGAAACGTTGTCTCCCGTCACCCGTCACGAGCATGTGCTGTTATCGATAACGCTTATCAGTCAATGCCAGCCAGATGAGGTGCGAGGCCATCAAGGTGCGAGCACTTACATCACGGACCCTGAATTTCTTGAGGGCATTCGTAGATATTGTGGGGGAAACATGGGTAGATGGTCCAGGGCTGGCTGGGATCGTGAGAGTCTAATGGAGAACCTGGATGGTCAGCTATGTGAGACAAAAGCATTTGAACATGGCATTTCAGCTGAATCTAATGGCCAATGTTGGTCGTCTCTTCTTTGGTGTAAGGTCATTGCCGTGATCGACAACCATGAATTCTCCGACAGATGACAAGATGGTGTGCACCACGCCGACGGACCGATCCGTCGTAGCGTCCGAGGACAAGTTGGAATGGGATGTCGACGAGGAGCGCCGGGCCAAGAGGAAGTCAGACCCCCCTCTCCCCAGTAATACCAAGATTTAAGCTTAAATGTAGCTTTGAGGGTGATGGAGGCTAACTTGCTGTGATTCCAGAATCGACATGACGGTGCTCCCTCTCCTCGTCTTGGGCCTACTCATGTTCCAGCTCGACCGCATGAACCTAGCCTCAGCACTCACAGCCGGCTTCGCGAAAGATATCGACGTCAGCCAAGACACGATCAATCTGGGAAACCAGCTCATGTTCATGGGCACCGTCATCTTGGAAATTCCATGCAATCTACTCTTACAGAAAGTGCGTCCCCCAGACCCAGGCCCATACTGCTCTCACTCTCTCTCTTTGCACTTTCATATCCAAGCCTTCGCTTCCAAAGTTGACACCATGCTAAAACCCGATCCCAACAGTTTGGCCCCCGGAAATGGATCTCCCTGCAAGTCCTCCTCTTCGGCACCGTCGCCACGCTCCAAGTCCTCGTCAAGAACCGCGCCGGCTTCCTCGCCATTCGCCTCATGCTCGGCCTCGCCGAGGCCGGATATATACCCGGATCAATGTACACCCTGTCGAACTGGTACCCTAAACATGAGCTGGCGAAGCGCATCGCAGTCTTCATGTTTGGGCAGTTTGGTGGCAACGCCTTAAGTCCGCTTCTTGCTTCCGGTATACTAAAGTTGGCAGGGAAGGGTGGGTTGACGGGCTGGCAGTGGCTTTTCCTGAGTGAGCGCTCCGTTCTTCTCCGTGGTTCGTTGTATTCGTGAATTCTTCTAATACCGCCTCAAAGCTGAGGGCCTGGCCACTCTAGTTGTTGCCATGATGCTCATCTTCCTCCTGCCTGGGTCACCCGACACGCCGAAACCCCTGGGAAGCCCAGGACTCATTCGATTTTCGACGAGACAACAAGAGATTCTTCGACAGAGAATGCGGATTGACGAGCCTAGGAAAAGTGATGGAGTACACGGTATCGAAATTCCCTGGGCACTCGTCTGGAAAACGGTCAAGCACTACAAGAGATGGCCACACTACGTTTCCACCTTTTGCGTCTTTTCGACGTGGTCGCCGCTAACGACGTATACCCCTTCCATCATCATGTAAGTCCTATCTGCTTCTCCTAACGAACGAAGGCCGCGATCCTAATTGACTCCAAGGGCCCTTGGTTTCGACCGCATTAGCGCCAACGCTCTAGCCGCAGTGGGCGCGTCTCTCGCCATGGCTGTAGTCTTTGTCTTTGCCATGTTGAGTGATCGGTCGAATAAGAGAGGATCGACGGTCCTGTTGGGACATATGTGCTACCTGACGATACTCGTGGTGGCTCGGACCGTGCATCCGCATGTCGGGAAGTGGTCGAGATGGGGTTTGTGGACGGCCATCAACGCTTTTGCTGTGTGCTACCACCCGGCGCATAATACCTGGTTGCAGGTCAACTGCCGTGATCCCAGAGAGCGCAGCATCGGCATCGCGTGAGTTGCCATTCTATCTTGAGGGATCTAGCAGAAGCTGACAGGCGAGGAAGCATGTGGGTCATGTCTGCCATCAGTGGTTTGATGGTGGGATCTCAGTATTTCAGGGGTAACGATCTACCTTTGTAAGTTTATTCTCGTCAATTCACTACAGCTTTGACTGATGGATTTGTGATAGCTACGACAAAGGTCTTTTGACGATGATTATTATGGTCTCAATCGGCATGGCCTTTGCCTTGCTGCAGGAAGCTGTCTACTTAGTGCATAACAGGCGCGTGGCGCAAGGCAAACACAGACCCAAGGACGGGTCTGAGCCGTATGTTTACGTTCTTTAAAGGAATTAGTCGAGTACGAGCGATGCTTGACTTTGAACGATGTATTTGTAATGAAATGGTAAAAAAAATAGGAGTACCACATTTAGAAGGCGTTTGGGGAGTTGCCCATAGAGACAAGAAGCCGAATAACGACAGACTTGCGGCTCAGCGCATGCCTGGTAGCCATAATAAAGCCTGCATCACGATGATATAAAGCATTTTGCTTGAGCAACTTCAAGCGAGATGTCGGAGAACACACAAAGGATATTGACAGTCACTAGTATGTCTAATGTATTGTCCGTTGGGTTTGCATGTGTTCCGGAAGAGATGAACGTACTATAAATTATAATTAGACTCCGTCCCGATCCGGTTCAAGTTCTTTGAACGCTTCAGCCTGTTGAGAATGGTCATGTCCATGAATATGCTCATCAGACCGCTGGCTCAAATCCCGCTTCCCAACCCAATCTGTGCCATTAGCCCTCAGCAACGCCGTGACTTGTCCCATGTCAACGCCCAGAACCTTTTCAATGTACTTTGGCAACTCAGTATTATCCCAGTTCCCAGCCATGTCACCCTTAATAGCAATACCATTCTCACCAGCACCGTAGCCGTACAGCGTGATATCGGAAGCGGTATGCCCCCCCGTAGACCAGTTCACACCAGCACGACTAGCCAACAAATTCCCCAGCTCCGAGCTCAGCGAGCCAGCGGCAAGGAGAGTATTCACCTCGGCATCCGTGGCATCAGCAAGTCCGTACTCGGGCAGAATCTCACCCACAAGGAAAGCCTTCTTATCGGACCCGGTATACGCATCCCACACGTCCATAAGGAACTCAGTCGAGGCGTTAACCTTGGCCAGAGGAAGGGGATTGAAGCCGTTGAGGGTCAAGCCGCCGCACTCGTGGTCGGCAGCCGACATGAGCAGAGTGTCCGGGTGCTCGTCGATCCACTCGCGGACGAAGCCCATGACCTCGTTGTAGTGGATCGTATCGAAGAGGTGGGCGGCAGGATCGTTGGCGTGGCCTGCGTGGTCGATGCGCGAGGCTTCGATCATGAGGAAGTAGCCCTCTTCTTTGCAGTGGGTGTCGCGGTGGAGGGAGTTGAGGGCCGTTTCTGCCATTTCTAGGAGAGAGGGTTCTTGTGAGGGTTGGCGGGAGCGGTCGATTTCGTACATCATCTGGCCTAGAGTGTATTATCAGCTAGGTCTCCACCGGGAGGTTCGAGGTGTCGAGTTACCATCATTGAAGAGACCAATGTAGGGAAGACGAATGTCGCCGAGACCCTTGTCGAGAGCGTCAAAGGCCGACCGATTCTGCATCACATGGTATCCGTTCTCCTGCGCGAAGCCAAAGAGGTCAATCTCATCGCTCCGGCAAGAGGAAGGGTCGGCCTCGGGTTTGAAGTAGCACCGGCCACCTCCGAGGAGGATGTCAACGACGAGGCCGAGCGGATGCCCGTATCCGATCTCGTGCTCCGCGATCTTGGCGTACGAGTTGCGATCGGCAACGTGAGCCGCGTAGCCTATACATCTGTCAGCGATATTTATCGTGGGATGTAACATGTCAAGGGCTTTTATTTTGTGGCAGTGGCTTACTTACACGCGGGGGTGGCGTGGTTGATGGTGCTGGTGACGACTAGTCCTGTCTTCATGCCTGCAAGCTTGGCAGCCTCGAGTATGGAGCCGACGGGCTCGCCGGCAGGGTTGACGCCGATAGCTGTTGTGTGTTTGTTAGTGAAAGGCTGTTGAGTTCTCACGAGAGGCACGCGTACCGTTGTTGTAAGACTTCACACCGCAAGCAAAGGCAGTTCCAGAGGCGGCAGAGTCCGTGATAAGGTTGTCGCTGGAGAGAGTCCGAACGTTGCCGAGAACCTTCAAAGGAAATGAGTATGAATGGCATAAGCGTCAAATTATACTTAACGCACCATCTTATCAGCCGCGAGCTGGAAGCTCACAGGTGCTTTGGGATTTTGACCATTCTGGAGCAATGAAACATAGTCTCTTGCCATGGTCTGAGAGGCGGGACCATAACCATCTGGCACGATGTAGATCAAATTCTTGACATCAGGGAGCGACAGGATAGACTTTGCCAAGGCGGCAATTACCACGGCTGAAGAACGCATCTTGGAAGTAATTCCTACGATGAATGGATCATGGAGATTCGAGAAAAGCCATCAAGGTTGCAGCCATTATTGTTGTTCTTATAAACGTTCGTCTTCGACTCTCTTGGCATAATTCTACGTGTTGCAATATCGTTCATCCTACTGTGTGCCGCTTACAATCATTCATTGCGCCGGACATACGTACTTGGCATGACGGATCACATTCACTAGTGTCCCGCTGATTCTAGTATGAGGATCGCAATTCTTTACTGCCAATACTGGAAGGAGTTACCGCGTCTATGGTAGCGTGAGAGATATTTCACCGGTCTGAAGCTCATCGGGAGGATAAGCACGAATGATTCCGTCACCTGCTACGGATGTTTCGCAGCGTTCCTGAGGGCCAAGACGCCGTAGTGTCCGGGGTACGGCTTGGCGGTGGGAGTGTGATCCCCGCTTGTCCCAATAGATGCTACGCGATGGGCAACGTGCTGCCCGTGACAAAGGTAGGGAAGCATAATCCAACGACTTTGAACCCCCGGTCTTTGCCTTGGCTTTGGGGACGAGAGGGGAAGGTGGCACGACATTGGCAGCCCACGTGCTTTGGGTAATCTTACTTTGATAAGACTTTGAACAGCTGCACAATCTCATCTGCTTGGATGATGGAATACTATGAATATACCCCGCGCTCGACTTTGGGAAACCCTGGGGCAAAGCTGCGAGGAATGTCAAGTTGATACCAGCAGTCGGGAAGGGACGGGGGAGTGAGTTATCTGGGCTATACGCAAAACTAAGGCATACATGAACCCATTTCGTCAAGCTTTGGAAATTTATTCACGGAGACGTAATTAAGTATGGTTGATATAATGCGCCAATATGTTGAATGTGGTGAGTCTCGATAGTAGGGAGTGACGTAGAGCCAAGATGTTCAGGAAAAGGTCTCGGTCGCGAGACTGTCGGCAGGCGACAGTCACAATGACGACGAACATCAGACGTCAGAACACTGATTGAACGTGAGCCAATTTGTGACTCGGCCTCGTACGGTATTAGTCCAGGACTCAGGACTGTCATTCCATGAGACTCGATCGAAACAAGCCACCAAGCAGGAGGTGTTTGTGGCTGACCTGTTGAAGTGTCATGAAGGTTGACAACATGACGTAAGAACCGAAGAGATGATATGAAACTAGAAGGCTTGAAGACGTCGCCGAGTGTGAGAAGAAGCCGACTTATGAATGAGAGTGAATGAGTGAATGAGTGAGTGAGTAGCAGTGAGGAGGGTGAGCGAGTGAGTGAGTGAGAGTGAGTCGTTTTATTAGACTGAGGCGACGAGTGAAGCTTGGGCCAGGCGTGCACCGTTTGGTCTCCACATTGCTCCAGGTGGTGTAAGCGCCGCCCCAATGATTGGCTGCTGTTGCACGGGAAGACTACAGGGACCCTCCAAGCTGCCAATAATAGCTTCCCGCGCGTCTGCAATCGCCCTCTCTAGAAACAAAGACGCAGACACAAAACCACAAGGACACCAAGAACCAAGAAAACCCCTTCTCATTTCAAAATTAGTCCATAGTGACCCGTTCCTCTCATCAGAGACCTCGTATCGACGTTGTTTTTCCTTGTGGGAGGCGCTTAACCAAACCATTTCTGCCCGCCCACCGCTACTGCTACTGCTACAGTGCGTGGGTACTACCCAGTCTCGCGGCAATGGCATCTCGGCCCCGGCAACCTTGCGAGGGACTCCATGAGCTAGGCTCTAGGTAGTCGGTCTTTTGCTTGGCCACAAATTGAACATCCGATCACTCCCCCGGCTGCAAATAGGAAAGACATGCAAGGCATTGGACGACGTCGTCCCCAAGTTGCCGGGCCCTCATCTAAAGCTGGGGGCTCCATATCCAACCTTGGCCAGACCCAGCGGACTAAAAGTGTTTCGAATGCCTTCACAGCCCGGCGTGTTGAATGGGCCACAACAGGGTTGAGAGTTCTAGACCCTTGGACCGCTTCTTGTTCTTACCTTGCCGTCAGGTCCAGTCATACAAGATGGAGCCTGCATCCTCCCGACGAGTTGTCGAGCACACCCCGTCATACAATCATTTCCTTCGCCTGTCCGCTGTGGTTTCGAGTCATATTGACGTCTTTCTCTCTCTTTCTCTCCTTTCTCTTCCGTCTTTTCTCGTGGTTTGTTTCTCAGTTCCTTTCTCCACATCGTCATTCCTTGTCCTTTATTGCCTTTTCCTACTCTGTTCCCAGCCTCTGTGGATCGTCGCCTTTGTGTGTCTAGACGTCGGAACTGTACCCGCTCTCTTTCAACTATCTTTGGCTTGCCTGCGAGCGAGGCAACGCGCGGTATCGATACCAATTCTTATTGATAATATTCTTCCTACCCTGTGGAGAGAGCGAGTCCAAGTCAATATCCCTACACAAAAGGCCGCTCATTACGGAACACCACAATGCTCCCCAGTCTACGCATAGCAGATGTCGTGCTGCTCCTCCTGATCACCCAGACCACGCAGGCCGGCCCATTAAGACGTGGTGAGAGGTAGTAAGTATGCCCCCATACCAAGAACCGCCAACTTCCGCTAACAACATGTTACAGTTTCCGGAGGGAATGGAACACAACGTACAGTCAAAGCATTGCTGCTTCATCAGATAGTCTATCACCCTCATCGTACGGTCCCACTACCTCTCTCGTCTCTCAGAAGAAACACTTACACGAACTTAGAGAACCAAGCAGCTCTGTTGTCCCGCTGGTAACACAGCAAGACCAAGATGGGACCACGCCGACCCCAATCTTCGTCA